TCCATGTCCCCAGAGCTAGTCTCCATGTCCGGAGATCCGGTCGTCGAGGCCCCCGCCGTCGACTGCCGCCCAGATCTCTCTGCACCGGCCCCATATGGCTCCTCCCGCGGGTGGTGGGCCCACGTGAGGACGGCCCCACGTCGCTCCTTCGGGCTAAGCCCGGCCGGGCCCCGTGGGGGAAGGCCCGGCCACCAGGCGCTCGCTGACGAGCACCCACCCCAGGCCTGGCTCCAGGGTGAGGCCCCGGTGACGCCAATCCGGGCGACGTAACTGGCCTCTGTGTTGCACTCATCATAAGGGGCTTCTGAACCGTTCTTCGTCTGACCCGTCCCCCCCGGACCTGTTTGCTTTGGGTGACCCTACCAGGGGCATGAAGCCCCCGACAACATAGCTCCCGGGATCATTCGGGCACTCAAACCCCTCCACCACGATAAGGTGACGGTTCAAGGAGGGGTAGCTATGTCCATTTATATATAAATCTACTCCCATGTCTATGGATCCAGGCCACAATTTTTGTTGCTGTAATTGTAGCACTGATTTTTCTAAGTACAGCTTCTAAAAAGATATAACTCAGCAAAGTTACCTCTTTTTTGTCCAAACCAAATATAAATCTAGGGAATTTTATCTCTATTTAAGATTCTGTGTCAGAGATTCTTCTTCTTCCTGTTTGAATTGATGAAATGCCATTATAAAGAGGAGGACCAGCATGTAGCGGCCAAATCAAGGAACTCATTGGCCACCGATCATTCTACAAAGAAAAAAAAAAAAGTTCCACAATCCGCAATGTCCACAAATATCCACCATGTTTTTCAACCTATGATTTTTTTCCCCTTTCTTTGTTCCTTGTAAACGCGCATATTTGTTTTGACATGGACAGACCATGCGTGACCCTGACTGGCTAATCCACCTGTCAATCAAACCCATCTAAAAACAAGGAGATTCAGATTCACATCTGTGTAAAGTACTGGAGAAGTGTGTATTCTGGATCCTAGGCAACTTTAAAGTACTTTCCACTAATTAATGTTGGTACTGAGCCTGGACACAGAGCATGTCCTGCTCGAGGCTATTTTATTAACCTTAATTAACCCTCCATGTGCCCTCTGCTGGCAACAGTGGATATATGCACAAAAACAACTAAATAGCTTTCACCTGTTTTCCTTAATATACCATCAGTTCTCTGATGCCCCCGAGTCTGCACGCATCATTTAGACAGAGGATGTAGTGCGAGGTTCATTTTGCTATAAAAACATACACTGACCTTATAAACTCTAATAATGCCTCCATATAACATAAAGTGTAACCATATGACAAGAAGAGCAGCTGGAGTCTCACCTGCCTCATGCTTTTCTCTATAATTAAACTTTTTAACATTTCTGGACCTGTGCCAGTTTTTTAAAGACAGACTGCAGCTATAGCCTATAATATATGTATTCTCTAGGATGCAATGATGTGAGAAAAATATCTAATTGCAATTTTTCTTACAAGCATTTCAATTAAATTTGTGAAAGGATTCTGTAAAAGTTCACATTTTAAAAACATCCAGAAGTACTGACTCAAATACCAAAATATGGACTGACAAACTAATACAAGAGTCACATTTCAGAACAGTTCATGCAGATCTAAAGTAGTGTTAGTAGTTTTTATGCAGAATAAGTATATTTTGTTGTTTGTGGAGGACATTTTGTTACTTAAAAAATAGCAACCTTCACGAATTATGTCTATTCAAATTGCAATTTTCCAATTTCGATTCAGCTGTGATTCATACTGTAGCATTGTTATAGTTTTTCTGTCGGACTATATACGGATGGAAGGTAACGAGTTACAAGTAGTAAAGTACTGTACTCAAGTAGAATTTTTACATATCTGTACTACATTTTGCTTCACTACATTAGAAAGAAGGTATCTGTACTTTCTACTCCACTACATTTTTTTACTGGACTGAAAAGTAAAGTACTTTTCAAATGATTTTAGAGGTTATTTTACCATGTTTGTGGTAACATCTGGACTACATTTTTTAATTCAAGCTTTTACTTTGAGCAAACAAAAAATACACAAAATTCATGAGAAAAATAAGAAATTAATTAGTTGCTATGAATATATGTATAATGTTTTAATCAATATCAGTACATTTTTACAAATCAACAACACTTGTGTGATATGCTTTTTAGTCTTAAAGTACATTTTTAAACGGATACTTTAATACTTTTTTGCATGTGATACTTTTACTTGAGTAACTTTTACTCTAACTTTTATATCTATACTTGTACGTCAGTAACAAAACTGAGTACTTCATCCACCACTGCCCATATACGAGCATTCATCATTGAGCTCCATCCCAACAGTATAAAGCAATGAGTGTGTGTTTACTGATCCAGAGGAACACAGGCCTCTGTAAACACTGTAATTACACTCTTCCTTTTGGGTGGGAGGCCTTTAAATGGACTTTTATCACGAGAGCCACTCATGTTTGTGAATGAGATTAGGCCCTGATCAAGCACTGGTGAGTAAAAGTACTTGAAAATGATACTGTTCAAGTGGCAATTGTAAAGGGCCCATATTACAACACTTTCTGATCTAGGTTATAATGTTGTTTGCTCATCACAAATAAAACTAGCCTGATTCATCAGCCGGTTTTACTTCGTATCACTTCGTACAAACCGCCTGACCTCGCAGCCTTAGATTCAATTTAGTTTTGATTGCATTGAATTTTGCAGCCCTACTATGTATGACTTTTATGTAACTACACCCATGTTGGTTGTAGACTGGTAGCAAAAATTTCCCGAGTTCATTAGGAACAAAGAATCTTGGGAGATCTTGTTGCAGATGTTGTTGCACTCTGTTCAAAAGCCAGATTAAAAAACAAATGACTGGCCTAATTTATTTTGCTTGTTGTGGTGAATTTTGATGTTGCTTTGTTGGGTTTTTGGCTGGGCTCTGTGTGAGGGAGGGGCAGGTGTCAGCTGGACAGGTCACACAGATAGAAAAGACAAATTCAAGTTCCACGCTTTTTCAGCATTTACAATAATCTATTCAACTTTCAGAACTACAATATCTACTATTTTCATCAAGTTTAGTGTACCTTCTACCTTGCATGTCCTAAGATGTTACGCATCGAGGAGAGTGACAGTGATTATTGACCAAATTGTTCACTTTTTTACAGAGATGAATGCAGCTTACAAAACTTTTGGGAATGTTCCAGATTGAAGTGACAACATGTTTACTGTGGGAGAGAGTGGTGATAGCAAAGCACAGACTTTGGAAATCTATTGGGGCTTCAATCTCATGGGGGCTTCATGTAGATGAACTATGATTTACCCTGGAAGACTGATTTAACCTTCATCGAGGCAAAGGTGTCTAGAACCTCAGAATATGGAGGGTGATTGTTTTAGCTCCATTTTAAAGGAAACATACACAAATGATGAAAACATCCCAAATGACAATCTGTGTGTAATTAAATGATGTATAAAAAGTGCACACCCTTTTTGTTTCCTCATGTTTCAGATTCAAATTTGAAGTTAGGAGGAGCTGATTCCTCTAGCACTGCTAATTGTTGAGTCTTGTTATAGATTCCCTATTTTTATTTTAGCACTTGTGGCAAAAATTACGTATCTCTTGATGATAATTAATCCGTTTGCAAAGCCCGATGAGTTTTTGGAACACAGACCAAGGTTTATTCTTGTTACAGCACATATGGACAGGGCCTATGTCTCCCCTGGCCACAGAACAACAGCCTCTCTTATCCCTGCCACATTTTACCCGAGTCTCTGCCCATGTATCTGCCCCAGAGCATCTGAGCTCTGAGAATTTATACAGAAATACAAGTTATATCAAAGCAGTGTCACTTGTCTCACAGGCTGGTGTTAATCAACTTAACATACATTTGAGGACAGCGAAGACAACTAAGAGTTTCCTGTGGGGTTGGGGACAGATGTGTCTGTTGAGCCTTTACACATTTTAATGACTGGTCTCAGGTAGAAATCACATTAAATTACACAAAGGCAGATTGAGAGAAATCTTTCCACAATATAAATTCACATCACACACTCATAATTTCCTATATCTTAGTTTCAGTATCTTAAAAGGTGAATGGTCAAACAAATGTGTCAAATAAGGTGAGGATATTAGGAGTGGGGGATGTTGTTTGCTTGGTGTTCGAGCAGCATGATGGTACACACATGAGATTTTAAAATCAAAAAAGTTTGAAAAAGGCCAATTCAATCAAGAAATTGAAATATAGGAAATTTTGCTTTTGTGAGATTAATTAAAAATTAAGAAATGGCTGAAACTTCAGTAGATGGACGTCCATTCATACCTGATCCATGCAACTAGCCCTGTCCCCAGGAGAGTATGAAATCTGCTGAAATCCTACAAGACACTGAGATGATACAAGAAAGACAGTGGCTCTTTCTATAAGAGACATGCGCAGTAGAGTGTGAAGTGACGTAGTGTGATTACCCGTCTATACGGAGCTGGTGCGGGATTGTCAAAATAAAGGGTGGCAGACGTGGTTGTACGCTGTTGATGTGGGATGCAGGGGATACTCAGCACCATCGCTTTAGAAACTGCTGACAGAAATTGGACTAAGAGGAGAAGGAAGGAGAAAGAAAATGCAAAGACTTCGTGAGCAGAGAGAGAGCCTCCTGTTGGGTTTGGAACAGGAGGAAGGAGATGATTGGGTGAGTAGTGACTGGCAAATACTGCTGACCCACCAGCAGGACAGTGTTATGGTTAAGGGTCAAAACAGTTATCGCAAGAAGAACTGATGAAGAAGCATCCTTGGATGTATGTTATAACTATAACTTATCTATCTCAAAGGAGAATGTTCTGAAGTAAAGTTTTAACTTTCTTTAATTTCCAGGAATCATGCAGCTGACTTTTCACCTCCATAAATTTAGAAACGTGACTGGCTGGCTGTGAGGAGGCGGTGACTATAAATACTGACACATTCTCAGTAGTCAGTAGAGCTCCAGCCCTTCTTTGTGAGCCCAGCACAGAGCACCATGGCTTCTCCTTTCAAGTCCCTCGTTCATGATGATGAATGTTATGACAAGTCCTTCGCTGTGTTTAAGATGCATATAGATGCACATCAGTACAAAAAAGACTTCATCTGCAAGACTCTGCCTGACCATCTGGCCAGGTAACATGCTAATTATTAATATATTATTGTTCCGCTAAAATGTGAATTGTTAAAATAAATGTTTTTTGTTTTAAAATAGTCTTGTCAATAATAGAAATTATCTGGAGTCAGCATTTGTTTATTTAACTTACATTATACAATAATGTGAGTTTCTTAAGGGAAACTGGGTATAATTACACTTAAAAGAAGAAAAAATATATTTTAATCTTATGTTAAGTTTTTTTTTTTTTCTTTTTTGCGGGGTGGATGTTCTATTGTATTATGTATGAGGAACTATTTTAGGTCCCAATACATTACACAATATCCAATATGAGATGCTTTTACTTTCCCTAGAATGTTACACAGAATATTAAACTTTGAAATACTATACTATATTTAGTATTTTTTCAATTACCCAACTTTATTGCTCAAAAATAAAGTGGGTTATTATTTAATCCAATTATTTTTATAGGATTTGCAAGATTCCTTCCTGTTTAAATAGTAATTTGAATAAGTATTAGTTATATGTTTAGGCGCGTGCTATGAAACAAGATCATATCAAAACCATGAACAAATGTTGGCATTAAGACAAACCCCAAAATGACTCAGAAAAGAAAGAAAAAGAAAAAAGAAAAGTAAATTGTACTCTGTAACTGTATTGTGTCTCTTAGCATTGGGGACGGGAAATCGATAAAGATCATTGGACTTGGGACTGGAGAAGGTAAGAGTTTATCACACGAGTGTGTTATGCTCTAACTGTAGATGGTGAATAATCATTAAATAGTGATGTCAGAATAAGTGCCTGGTTTTGAGCTCTTTTAAATGCAGGAGAACAAAGCCATGAAAACCTAGAGTCCTGGGAACATAAAATGATGTTGTTTTATGATGTAGGTGATTATGACATAGAGATGCTCTCCCATATGCGTCTGAAGCACCCAGGGGTGCTACTGGATAACGAGGTGGTGGAGCCAAGTGCACTTCGGATTCACAAATATAAAGGTACAGAAGAAATATATAATCTGTGTCACTGTGTTCAAAGGTGTCTCCAGTACAATGTTATGCCACTAATTAAAAACATGAAAAACAGAACGAGTTCATTTTAAATGGTTTAAATGGTTTTCAGTTGTCCAAAATTATTTCTAACTTAACAAGCATCGTAATTATTCCTGCAGTGGCGCCTACAGGAGAACACCTGTATGCACTGTGTGTACCTTGAATGTGCTAAGACTTTATGCACAGTGTTGGGAGTAACACGTTATATAAGTAACAAATTACTGTAATGTATTGCTTTTTGCTGTAACGCAGTAATGTTCAGCATTACAGGGGAAAAAAATTTTAATATTTTACTTTGGTACAAATGTCAGTAACGCGTGTTACAATGCATTTCTAACGTGGATTGAAGTGGTGGCTTTTTCTTGATACAAATTCACTAAAATCACCAAGATATCAGCAGCGGTGAAACGCCAGAGACGCACCCATGTAGGCATCAGGTAACTGCGGGAAAAAGGACCAGCGCAGAACTCCACGCTCCACGAGGCGAAGAGCAGCTGACGCCCAATTGCGTTCCAAGTTCTAGTCCGAGATTAGTCCTGGTTTGGTCCTGGTTTAGACCTGATTTAGTCTTTGTTTAGACCTGGGCCAGTTCTAGTTTAGACCTGGTTCAGTTCTGGTTTAGTCCTCGGTTCAGTCCTGGTTTAGTTCTGATTTAGTTCTGTTTTAGTCCTGGTTCAGTTCTGGTTTAGTGCTGGTTTAGTCCTGGTTTAGTTCTGGTTTAGTCCTTGTTTATTTCTGGTTAAGTCCTGGTTCAGTCCTGGTTTAGACCTAGTTTAGTCCTGGTTCAGTCCTGATTCAGCCCTGGTTTAGTTCTGGTTTAGTCCTGGTTCAGTCCTGATTCAGCCCTGGTTTAGTTCTGGTTTAGTCCTGGTTCAGTCCTGATTCAGCCCTAGTTTAGTTCTGGTTTAGTCCTGGTTCAGTTCTGGTTTAGTCCTGGTACAGTCCTGATTCAGTTCTGGTTTAGTTCTGGTTTAGTCCTAGTTTGGTCCTGGTTCAAACGTGGTTTAGTCCTGGGGTAGTCCTGGTTTAGTCCTGGTTTAGTTCTGGTTTAGTCCTGGTTCAGTTCTGGTTTAGTTCTAGTTTAGTCTTGGTTTAGTCCTGATTTAGACCTGGTTTAGTCCTCGTTCAGTCCATATATGGTGAAAAACTTCAGCATCTTCGCAGTTATTTTGGTGAGAGTAAATTAAAAGTAACGCAATAGTAATGTAATGTCTTACATTTTAAATGCTGTAATATTGGGCTATTGTGGAGGGTCTGTCACCCACTTTGCTGTGCATACCTTCCCACAAAATCCTGCAGGCAGCCCTGATTCCCCGGGATGAGTTTATAAGCACCTTTTAAACATTTCAGAGACAAGAGTGGAGTTACTGTGATGGTAAAGTTAGCAACAATTAGCATGCTAACAGTGCTAACATGTAATTAGATGCAGTCAGCATATTTTTATGATTATTAGACTTAGACTTATTCTGACCTCAAAACCTGCTCATACAATATATCTGTACTGATGTAAGGCAAATTTTGTTCAAATACATGAAAAAAATTAGTACAGGGTCTTTAAAGTGGAACTAAGCACTGAATCAACTTGAGAACTGTGCATATGGTGTTCTTATCTACTGCTCGTAGCCCTTTTTTGTGTGGCAATTTTAGAGCAAACTCCACTGTAGATTTCTGGTTAAAAAACTGAGTGTGACCACAGCAAGTTCAAGTGCTTTGTGACATCACACTGGACTGCCCTGAATACAACCTGCAGGGGCGGAGTTTAAAGTGTGGATACCTGTTAGACCAATCACACTGTTCCTTATACCACCCTGACCTCGTCCTTACTCCCCCTTCACTCTCCCCTACAAGGTTAATAATAGGTACTGCCCAGTTTATCAGCTTGAAATGTGGCCATGAGAAGAGTTGAGGTGTTAAGTTCCACTTTAAACGTCACAAATCAAATCTAAATATTTATATTCTTCTCATTTCTGTGTGTGTGGTGCAGAGAGGGCGGCTCAGATGTCCCACTTGGACCCAGTCAACTTCACCTGGCACCAGATGACGGCCTCCAAGTTTGAGGAGCAGTGGAGACAGAGAAATATCACCAAGAAGGTCGACTTCATCCACATGCTCCATGTATGTACGCTCTCTTCAAATGATACTTTACAATGGTCATCAACATATAAATTGTGGGAAAGGTACACTTTCTTAACCTTGCACAGCAAGACAGATTCACACGATATTTGTGAGTTCGCAAACTCACGAGAATTCATCTTAGCATACCAGCAAAGCCTGATCTCGTCATATTTCAGAAGCTAAGAAATGTCGGACCTGGTTGATACTTGGATGGGAGACCACTGGGAAAATCAGGTGCCACAGTGGGCCGCCTGTGGCAAAAACTGTCACTGTGTCCTTAAGGAAGACTCTTTATCCACATTGCATGGTAAGAAAGTGGTGTGTGTGTGTGATGGTTAGATTGGTGGCCTCACTTCTGTCAGTCTGCCCCAGGGCAGCTGTGGCTACAATAGTAGCTCATCACCACCGAGTGTGGAGTGAATGAATAATGCTCTGTAAAGTGTTTTGGGTGTCTTGAAAGGCACTATATTAATGCAATGATTAATTCATTCATTCATCTTGGCATGCCCTCCAACAAGAGGACCCACACATGACTCGTGTCCATCCACAGGTCCTGAAAAGTAAACAAACAGTGACCTGCAAAAAGACTGCCAACGTCCACTGTTTCTAGGCTGGTGTTTTCAATGCAACTTTACAAAAGTTGACATTGTTTTACACTAAAGACCATTACAGATTTGTGCCTAAAAACACATTTATGGACAAACTACATCCACAGACGAGAGCCATAGTACTGGAAAGACGCCTCGCCATGAGTGTGTCTTCACTTTGGGAATGACTACGGGTCTGTTGGCAGTGGGGGAAAAAAATCAAAAACAAAAATATCAATAGAAATGTCCATGGAAGTATTACATTATACATATTAATCCTCAGCACTTGTATTTGTGTATTTAAATCCACAGATGCTGTACTATGTTGAGGATCTTGGAGCGACCCTCAGATTCTATCAGAGCCTCCTGAAGAAGAACGGCAAAATGCTGATATATATAGTATCAGGTGAGAGGAACGCAGAATACAGGCATGTCAAGATCTCTCTACACAGGGGTGGGTGAGATTGACACAGTGATGAGTTTATAAAATGAGATGAGGAGCGTCCTCGGCACTACATTCCAAATAGGAAGTGAGCACGGGCGCTTTTCAGGTCCATCGTCTCCAACTGTAGACTACATACAGATCAGGTCAGGTGCTCTGGTTCATTTGCATGTGCATTTTGTTGTGAGTTATATTTGAACATCGATCAGTGTTGATACTCCTTTAGTTTAGCACAGTTTTTTTTTGACAGTTGTCCAGTGGCTCGTGGCACAGGCCTACGTCACGCCATTGGGTGTGTCTTATAGATCGGAGAAACACCCAAACCGACCTCGGCCCATTATCATGGAAACGCTCCCTGGGTGGAGGTGGCTCCTTCCTAACTGCTCCCCGCCAAGGAGGCTCCAAGCGAACCATGCCAGTGGAAATGAGGCTCTGGACTGCGTGAAATTAACTGTTTGTTTTTCCCATATCCATTGAGACTGGCTAGCTAAGGAGTTAGCTATGGACATTTGAGATACTACAGCAGGGGTATTCAACAAAAAATTTGAGCAGGTCTTGTTAGAGAAAATCTCCTCAAGCAGAGGTGCAAGGACATCATAATGTCTAACTTGCATTATGATTGTGATACAAAAGTAGCCTGGTTTTATCATTGTCTAAATGTATGAGCAAGAGACTGTCAAATCAACAAAAATACAAGTTAAAACATTTCAACAATTAGATATAGGGCTGCAGTTTAAAATAAATTAGATAAAATAAATAAAATGGCTAAATTGTGTATCTTAAAACCAAGTGCTTAACCTCAGTAAAAAAATAAAAAATAAAATAACAGCATCTTGAGTTTTCCTTTTTCTTTACCTTTGACATTTCGACTTAACAGTCTCAATACATTTTTCAACAAATATCTCAAACCCTCTTTCCTCTGTGTCTGCATTCAGAGTTGTGATCGCCTTGAATGCACAGATTTGATTGGCTCAGTAGCGTCATGATTGGTTTGTATGTTCCTTGGTCCATTAATACAGTGGTGTAAAGTTTAGACTCTAAACTGAATAGGCCCTATTCAATTGATTAAACTTATAAAATGAACTGCATTTAGCCTAGTGTTCAGGCCGGGCTCAGATGAGCTAGAGCGGGGAGTGGTCTTAGGTGCCTCAGCCTGAGAAGAACCAAATGTGCGGAGGACAGACTGTTCAGAACAACATATAATGAACCAAACTGGATTTTTGCTTCTGTCTGGATGAATTGCAAGACCTCAGAACCAGCCGCAGTCCTCGAGGACGGTGAACTGGAACTGCAACCCGCCGGATCTGTAGTCCACAGAGCATTCTCGCGTTCCCTGCATGGAACCAACATGCAGAGGACAGCACAGAACTGCTCAGACACAGTCCATTGAGCACTGGTCTTGCTCACCCCCATCTGGAACCAGCACATGGAGGACAAAGCCTCCGGACCTATCTGACCAACATGCTCAGAGGACGGCACAAGACCAAGGACCAGACCTCCAGCCCCGTCCTGAGGGGCTGCACGCTACATCAGATGCTCCTGTGTCTTTAGTGCTGTTGGCTGTTGCTGTTACCTGAACTCAGTACTTCTGCTCTGGGCTGATGTGCGATGAGTTCCGTACAAAGTTCTACATGCTGCTGTTTTATGAGCTCATGATGATGACTTGAGATGAGGACGGTGTTAACGGGGTGCATAGATATCTTTCATAATAGGAGGTACCACTGTTACCCCGAGGATCATACGCACCAGGGATGAGGTAAGGGGAACATCAGGTTGACCCTGTCCGGGTCTGTATGTGATGGCGTCTGGGTCCAGACTCGGACCGCAGCCCACCAGTTAGTGACCCCTGTGCTACAGGCTTTTACACCATAAGTGGCAATGTAGCAGATGTTACAGAGAAATACTGGGAATGAATCATTTCATCACTGACCTAAACACCAGAGTGGAGTAAGAGTGAGGCTTTTCCTGTTGTGTTCACCTCGTTCTTCCCTGAACACTGCTGTAACGCTGCAGGACACAGAGGAGGGACAGTTTTGGCTCTTCCTCTTCTCAATCTGCCCTGACACAGATCTACTAACCCTCCTTGACCAGTCGTCCTGTTAAACTGACCTGAGACCTTTGACTGAGACACATAGGTCACTGAGACACACTGTAAATGTTGCTGCAGCAAAACCTAAATTTCCCTCAGGATCAATAAAGTATCTCTCTCTCTCTGTCTTTCTCTTTCTCTGTATCTGTCTCTTTTGTTTCCATTGGTTGACTGTGGAGCAGGTTGGTTCAGGCTGCAAGTGTTTCCACTGTACTAAACGGGACAAGACGTGACATGATAACAAAACAGTGAAGATATTTAGGAAATTAAACATAGACAAGAAATGAGTATGGTTGGGTATTAGATTCTAATCATGTTGAAAATGAAGATGTCATTTATTATAATTTAGTTTAGTGTTCGAGGGCCCATATTACACTACTTCTGATCTGTGTTATAATGTTGTTACCTCATGAAAAAGATACTTGGAGTTGTGTTTCGTTTCATTCACAGATGTTTAACACATAAATTCTTCTTGATTGTGATTGTGGTTTTTTTTTTTGTTACAGCTGAGTCTGGCTGGGTGAAGATGTGGAGAACCTTCTACACTCAGCTGAGCCCCCCAGGGACTCGTACTTGTTTTCCACAACGGAACACAGCAGATATAAAGCAGCTGCTAGATGAAGCTGGAGTCCCGTACCAGAGTTATAAGGTGCCGTCTATGCTGGACATCACCGACTGTTTCACTGAAGGACATGAAACTGGAGAGCTGATTCTAAATTTCATCACAGAGATGGTTAACTTTAGAAAGACAGCCCCACATGAGCTCAGAGAGGGGGTACTGAGGATGCTGCAAGACCCTCAGTGCAGTATGGAGAAAAATGGAAGAATTCTGTTAAATATTTGTGAGGAGTTCATTATCGTGGAAGCAACCGATTAATGTGAGTTTATGGTGCCTTTAGACTTATCCTGGTTTGGTGCTTGTTTGTTAGCTTGATTCATGAGCCGGTTTCACTTCATAGAAACCACCTGACCTTGCAGTGTTAGAATTCATTCACTTGACGGTAGGCGGGTACTTTTTATCATTTAACCAATTGCTGCTACATGCTGTCACATATGTAACGGGGCTAACTGGTATATTAAGCTTTTTCCCAAATCCCGTAGGAAGAAGGGCAATAACGTCTTTCCCCTTGATGAGATTCACCAAACATTCTCTTTATATTTTTTAAATCCTCCATCTCAAGAACTGTTGGCAACACAGAATATATGGCTCTTTGCAGACTGACTGGTGCCCGAACTTGCACTTCCGGTGTTTTTGGGAACCATCTAGTGTATTTTGATTTCTAACCTAGTTGCTGGAGAGAAATTAAATTGAGCCACTTAAATTGAGGTGGCACCAGCCTGGTTACTAGTTTGTAGGCCTGTTATTGAAATACCATTATTGGTAATGAAATTATAGAGGATGATATTAAATGCTAAATGCTACTATATCACTGACATGACCCTAAAGCAGAATTTCCCCACAAAAATGAGCTGAAATAAATAAATGGAACAATTAATAGAAGTTATCAAATTAATCCTCTGCAACTCAAATATTCAGTAAAGTCCAAAAAAATATCCAAACGCTTCCCACTTGTACAAAGAAAACTTTACTGACTACATCGACTCCCAAAAATAATTGTTCCTTCTGTCATGTACTGAATCGTAAGTCGATATGGTATTTATCATTACAGACCTACTGCCCAGTTTAGGGATATTTTTTATCATTAGGTTAATTGAAAATCGTGATTATTGAGGTCACAATATAATTGTAAGAACTAAAAATAATAATAATCGTGACAGTTTTTGAAGCAAAATTAAGACTTTTTCAATTCAGTCTATTCTATTCTAAAAGGTATACCTAAATGTTACATACAAGAGGAACAGTAACTTGTCAGACTGGTGTGAATGGAATAAAATGAATGATTTCACTGTTCATGGTGTCAGTAATCGTGAATAATCATTCTGTTTCTTCTCACAATAAAATAACATTAAAATGTGATCATGTGACATATAGTCCTGATGTCGTTTTGCTTTGGTTGAGTGACAGGTCCTGCTTAAGGGTTAATGTCGTTAGAAGAAGAATAAAGTTCACTCAGCTGAAATAAATACATTTATAAAAATCAAATGTGAAGTTCTTGTAGTGTTCTTGAAGTTTTGTATAAAGAATTGGATTATGGGAGTAGTCAAATGAAGCTCACCAAGGCAAGCAGTTATAGTGGCGAATTTGGAGCCGAATTCCATGTTTGGAATTCTGACCACGAGTGTCATAGCAAAGAAGATCCAATCATGAGTGAGGCTGCACTGCTCCAATGCCCCTTCCCACCCGCACCGCTGGGTTAGTGGGGCTCATAAACTCTATCACTCAAACCTGTTGCTAATGCCAGCGGCAGTGACCTCGGGGAAAGAAGACCGCTGTTTTGTCTGTTATTAATGTTCAATGATGATGATTTAGGGACAAAATAGTGAAATACAAACACCAGGATCATGTACAGTGGGTTAATACAAACATTTTAAGGTCAGAATGACAAGCCTGACAGCAGCAGTAGCAAAGAGAGGGGTGACATTTTTAAATAGAAAGTGAATTATAGTTGATGGAGCTGGAAGCGCACCTATACTTACTTAATATTTGGAACACAGCAGGTAGCAAGTTAGTTAAATCCATTTATATACTGTGTGTATAATCTATAGTAGCAAGACTGCATCCCCACTTGTCATGTTTGCTTAAATATGTTTAGTTAGGGCCAATTCATTTTGCAACAATGAGAGCCTGGGCTTCATTTTGCACTGTGACTCTTCAGGTCATCCACATCAAAAAAGTCTAGAGGTGGACGATGTTGTATTTTGTATAGGGCACACGTTATTTTAAAGTGGTACCGAAATGTCCCATTAATTAAATAAAAAAGAAGGAAGGAGGGAAAACTTGACACAGTGACTCTTCATATAATCTCGGCTAAAAAAGTCATGGGGACCCATGTCGTATTTTGCATGGTATTGCCATAGCGCTGAAACACAACACTTCACATGTATGTTGACTGTGTGTGGTACACCCGACACAGGTACACCCTGAGCCACAATAAATAAAAGTACTTGAAAATGATACTGTTCAAGTGGCAATATTAAAGGGCCCATATTTCAACACTTTCTAGGTTATAATGTTGTTTACTCATCACAAATATAATTCAAGTTGTGTTTTATTTCACTTATTCCACCTTGAGTAACAGAACATTTTGAGCTTTGAAGATGTTTGAAGAAGACAAACTAAAGGGTTACTCAAATTTGTGAATGAAACAAAACACAACTCCAGGTATGTTTTTGAAGAGCTAACAACATTATAACATGACTTAAAGGAACAGCCTGGAATTTTGGACATAGGGCCTCATTTCCTAGTGAGCCAGAGTGTTGGAGACATGCGGAGACACTTATTCCATCCAGTCCTTGTATTTGCAGAGGTTGCTGGTGCTATGTCAATGGCCATAGTTAGTCTGCCACTTAGGGCAGTGACTTGCAATTTTTCTGACAACCTTTGTGACTGCGATTGCTGTTTTTATAAGAAATAAGAAATTTGAGGAGTAAATTATTGTACTCTGCAGTTTGCTAAATCCATTCATTCAAATATTCAATTTCGTTTCAATTGCACTGAATTTTGCAGCCCTACTATGACTTTTATGTAACTACACCCATGTTGGTTGCAGATTGGTAGCAAAAAGACACATTTCCAGAGTTCATTAGGAACAAAGAATCTTGGGAGATTGTTTTGTTGGTTGTTACACGAGATGTTGCACTCTGTTCAAAAGCCAGATTAAAAAACAAATGAATGGCCTAATTTATTTTACTTGTTGTGGTGAATTTTGATGTTGCTTTGTTGGGTTTTTGGCCGGGCTCTGTGTGAGGGAGGGGCAGGTGTCAGCTGGACAGGTCACACAGACAGAAAAGACAAATTCAAGTTCCACGCTTTTTCAACATTTACAACAATCTATTCAACTTTCAGAACTACATTATCTGCTATTTTCATCAAGTCTAGTGTTTAGTGTACCTTCTACCTTGCATGCCCTAAGATGTTACGCACTGAGGAGCGTAACAGTGATTATTGACCAAATTGTTCACTTTTTTACAGAAATGAATGCAGCTTACAAAACTTTGGGGAATGTTCCAGATTGAAGTGACAACATGTTTACTGTGGGAGAGAGTGGTGATAGCAAAGCACAGACTTTGGAAATCTATTGGGGCTTCAATCTCATGGGGGCTTCATGTAGATGAACTATGATTTACCCTGGAAGACTGATTTAACCTTCATCGAGGCAAAGGTGTCTAGAACCTCAGAATATGGAGGGTGATTGTTTTAGCTCCATTTTAAAGGAAACATACACAAATGATGAAAACATCCCAAATGACAATCTGTGTGTAATTAAATGATGTATAAAAAGTGCACACCCTTTTTGTTTCCTCATGTTTCAGATTCAAATTTGAAGTTTGGAGGAGCTGATTCCTCTAGCACTGCTAATTGTTGAGTCTTGTTATAGATTCCCTATTTTTATTTTAGCACTTGTGGCAAAAATTACGTATCTCTTGATGATAAATAATTAATCCGTTTGCAAAGCCCGATGAGTTTTTGGAACACAGACCAAGGTTTATTCTTGTTACAGCACATATGGACAGGGCCTATGTCTCCCCTGGCCACAGAACAACAGCCTCTCTTATCCCTGCCACATTTTACCCGAGTCTCTGCCCATGTATCTGCCCCAGAGCATCTGAGCTCTGAGAATTTATACAGAAATACAAGTTATATCAAAGCAGTGTCACTTGTCTCACAGGCTGGTGTTAATCAACTTAACATACATTTGAGGACAGCGAAGACAACTAAGAGTTTCCTGTGGGGTTGGGGACAGATGTGTCTGTTGAGCCTTTACACATTTTAATGACTGGTCTCAGGTAGAAATCACATTAAATTACACAAAGGCAGATTGAGAGAAATCTTTCCACAATATAAATTCACATCACACACTCATAATTTCCTATATCTTAGTTTCAGTATCTTAAAAGGTGAATGGTCAAACAAATGTGTCAAATAAGGTGAGGATATTAGGAGTGGGGGATGTTGTTTGCTTGGTGTTCGAGCAGCATGATGGTACACACATGAGATTTTAAAATCAAAAAGTTTGAAAAAGGCCAATTCAATCAAGAAATTGAAATATAGGAAATTTTGCTTTTGTGAGATTAATTAAAAATTAAGAAATGGCTGAAACTTCAGTAGATGGACGTCCATTCATACCTGATCCATGCAACTAGCCCTGTCCCCAGGAGAGTATGAAATCTGCTGAAATCCTACAAGACACTGAGATGATACAAGAAAGACAGTGGCTCTTTCTATAAGAGACATGCGCAGTAGAGTGTGAAGTGACGTAGTGTGATTACCCGTCTATACGGAGCTGGTGCGGGATTGTCAAAATAAAGGGTGGCAGACGTGGTTGTACGCTGTTGATGTGGGATGCAGGGGATACTCAGCACCATCGCTTTAGAAACTGCTGACAGAAATTGGACTAAGAGGAGAAGGAAGGAGAAAGAAAATGCAAAGACTTCGTGAGCAGAGAGAGCCTCCTGTTGGGTTTGGAACAGGAGGAAGGAGATGAGTTGGCAGCCAGGAGAAAGTGAGTAGTGACTGGCAAATACTGCTGACCCACCAGCAGGACAGTGTTATGGTTAAGGGTCAAAACAGTTATCGCAAGAAGAACTGATGAAGAAGCATCCTTGGATGTATGTTATAACTATAACTTATCTATCTCAAAGGAGAATGTTCTGAAGTAAAGTTTTAACTTTCTTTAATTTTCCAGGAATCACCTCCATAAATTTAGAAACGTGACTGGCTGGCTGTGAGGAGGCGGTGACTATAAATACTGACACATTCTCAGTAGTCAGTAGAGCTCCAGCCCTTCTTTGTGAGCCCAGCACAGAGCACCATGGCTTCTCCTTTCAAGTCCCTTGTTCATGATGATGAATGTTATGACAAGTCCTTCGCTGTGTTTAAGATGCATATAGATGCACATCAGTACAAAAAAGACTTCATCTGCAAGACTCTGCCTGACCATCTGGCCAGGTAACATGCAAATTATTTATATATTATTGTTCCGCTGAAATGTGAATTGTTAAAATAAATGTTTTTTGTTTTAAAATAGTCTTGTCAATAATAGAAATGATCTGGAGTCAGCATTTGTTTATTTAACTTACATTATACAATAATGTGAGTTTCTTAAGGGAAACTGGGTATAATTACACTTAAAAGAAGAAAAAATATATTTTAATCTTATGTTAAGTAATTTTTTTTTTCTTTTTTGCGGGGTGGATGTTCTATTGTATTATGTATGAGGAACTATTTTAGGTCCCAATACATTACACAATATCCAATCTGAGATGCTTTTACTTTCCCTAGAATGTTACACAGAATATTAAACTTTGAAATACTATACTATATTTAGTATTTTTTCAATTACCCAACTTTATTGCTCAAAAATAAAGTGGGTTATTATTTAATCCAATTATTTTTATAGGATTTGCAAGATTCCTTCCTGTTTAAATAATAATTTGAATAAGTATTAGTTATATGTTTAGGCGCGTGCTATGAAACAAGATCATATCAAAACCATGAACAAATGTTGGCATTAAGACAAACCCCAAAATGACTCAGAAAAGAAAGAAAAAGAAAAAAGAAAAGTAAATTGTACTCTGTAACTGTATTGTGTCTCTTAGCATTGGGGACGGGAAATCGATAAAGATCATTGGACTTGGGACTGGAGAAGGTAAGAGTTTATCACACGAGTGTGTTATGCTCTAACTGTAGATGGTGAATAATCATTAAATAGTGATGTCAGAATAAGTGCCTGGTTTTGAGCTCTTTTAAATGCAGGAGAACAAAGCCCTGGGAACATAAAATGATGTTGTTTTATGATGTAGGTGATTATGACATAGAGATGCTCTCCCATATGCGTCTGAAGCACCCAGGGGTGCTGCTGGATAACGAGGTGGTGGAGCCAAGTGCACTTCGGATTTACAAATATAAAGGTACAGAAGAAATATATAATCTGTGTCACTGTGTTCAAAGGTGTCTCCAGTACAATGTTATGCCACTAATTAAAAACATGAAAAACAGAACGAGTTCATTTTAAATGGTTTAAATGGTTTTCAGTTGTCCAAAATAATTTCTAACTTAACAAGCATCGTAATTATTCCTGCAGTGGCGCCTACAGGAGAACACCTGTATGCACTGTGTGTACCTTGAATGTGCTAAGACTTTATGCACAGTGTTGGGAGTAACACGTTATATAAGTAACAAATTACTGTAATGTATTGCTTTTTGCTGTAACGCAGTAATGTTCAGCATTACAGGGGAAAAAAAATTTAATATTTTACTTTGGTACAAATGTCAGTAACGCGTGTTACAATGCATTTCTAACGTGGATTGAAGTGGTGGCTTTTTCTTGATACAAATTCACTAAAATCACCAAGATATCAGCAGCGGTGAAACGCCAGAGACGCACCCATGTAGGCATCAGGTAACTGCGGGAAAAAGGACCAGCGCAGAACTCCACGCTCCACGAGGCGAAGAGCAGCTGACGCCCAATTGCGTTCCAAGTTCTAGTCCGAGATTAGTCCTGGTTTGGTCCTGGTTTAGACCTGATTTAGTCCTTGTTTAGACCTGGTTTAGACCTGGGCCAGTTCTAGTTTAGACCTGGTTCAGTTCTGGTTTAGTCCTCGGTTCAGTCCTGGTTTAGTTCTGATTTAGTTCTGTTTTAGTCCTGGTTCAGTTCTGGATTAGTGCTGGTTTAGTCCAGGTTTAGTACTGGTTTAGTCCTGGTTCAGTCCTGGTTCAGACCTAGTTTAGTCCTGGTTCAGTCCTGATTCAGTCCTGGTTTAGTACTGGTTTAGTCCTGGTTCAGTTCTGGTTCAATCCTGGTTCAGTCCTGGTTCAGTTCTGGTTTAGTTCTGGTTTAGTCCTGGTTCAGTTCTGGTTTAGTCCTGGTTCAGTTCTGGTTTAGTCCTGGTTTAGTTCTGGTTTAGTCCTTGTTTATTTCTGGTTAAGTCCTGGTTCAGTCCTGGTTTAGACCTAGTTTAGTCCTGATTCAGCCCTGGTTTAGTTCTGGTTTAGTCCTGGTTCAGTTCTGGTTTAGTCCTGGTACAGTCCTGATTCAGTTCTGGTTTAGTCCTAGTTTGGTCCTGGTTCAAACATGGTTTAGTCCTGGGGTAGTCCTGGTTTAGTCCTGGTTTAGTTCTGGTTTAGTCCTGGTTCAGTTCTGGTTTAGTTCTAGTTTAGTCTTGGTTTAGTCCTGATTTAGACCTGGTTTAGTCCTCGTTCAGTCCATATATGGTGAAAAACTTCAGCATCTTCGCAGTTATTTTGGTGAGAGTAAATTAAAAGTAACGCAATAGTAATGTAATGTCTTACATTTTAAATGCAGTAATATTGGGCTATTGTGGAGGGTCTGTCACCCACTTTGCTGTGCATACCTTCCCACAAAATCCTGCAGGCAGCCCTGATTCCCCGGGATGAGTTTATAAGCACCTTTTAAACATTTCAGAGACAAGAGTGGAGTTACTGTGATGGTAAAGTTAGCAACAATTAGCATGCTAACAGTGCTAACATGTAATTAGATGCAGTCAGCATATTTTTATGATTATTAGACTTAGACTTATTCTGACCTCAAAACCTGCTCTTACAATATATCTGTACTGATGTAAGGCAAATTATGTTCAAATACATGAGAAAAACTTAGTACAGGGTCTTTAAAGTGGAACTAAGCACTGAATCAACTTGAGAACTGTGCATATGGTGTTCTTATCTACTGCTCGTAGCCCTTTTTGGGTCGCAATTTTAGAGCAAACTACATTGTAGGTGTGACCACAGCAAGTTCAAGTGCTTTGTGACATCACACTGGACTGCCCTGAATACAACCTGCAGGGGCAGAGTTTAAAGTGTGGATACCTGTTAGACCAATCACACTGTTCCTTATACCACCCTGACCTCGTCCTTACTCCCCCTTCACTCTCCCCTACAAGGCTAATAATAGGTACTGCCCAGTTTATCAGCTTGAAATGTGGCCATGAGAAGAGTTGAGGTGTTAAGTTCCACTTTAAACGTCACAAATCAAATCTAAATATTTATATTCTTCTCATTTCTGTGTGTGTGGTGCAGAGAGGGCGGCTCAGATGTCCCACTTGGACCCAGTCAACTTCACCTGGCACCAGATGACGGCCTCCAAGTTTGAGGAGCAGTGGAGACAGAGAAATATCACCAAGAAGGTCGACTTCATCCACATGCTCCATGTATGTACGCTCTCTTCAAATGATACTTTACAATGGTCATCAACATATAAATTGTGGGAAAGGTACACTTTCTTAACCTTGCACAGCAAGACAGATTCACACGATATTTGTGAGTTCGCAAACTCACGAGAATTCATCTTAGCATACCAGCAAAGCCTGATCTCGTCATATTTCAGAAGCTAAGAAATGTCGGACCTGCTTAGTACTTGGATGGGAGACCACTGGGAAAATCAGGTGCCACAGTGGGCCGCCTGTGGCAAAAACTGTCACTGTGTCCTTAAGGAAGACTCTTTATCCACATTGCATGGTAAGAAAGTGGTGTGTGTGTGATGGTTAGATTGGTGGCCTCACTTCTGTCAGTCTGCCCCCCAGGGACTCGTACTTGGTTTCCACAACGGAACACAGCAGATATAAAGCAGCTGCTGGACGAAGCTGGAGTCCCGTACCAGAGTTATAAGGTGCCGGCTATGCTGGACATCACCGACTGTTTCACTGAAGGACATGAAACTGGAGAGCTGATTCTAAACTTCATCACAGAGATGGTTAACTTTAGAAAGACAGCCCCACATGAGCTCAGAGAGGGGGTACTGAGGATGCTGCAAGACCCTCAGTGCAGTATGGAGAAAAATGGAAGAATTCTGTTAAATACTTGTGAAGAGTTCATTATCGTGGAAGCAACCGATTAATGTGAGTTTATGGTGCCTTTAGACTTATCCTGGTTTGGTGCTTGTTTGTTAGCTTGATTCATGAGCCGGTTTCACTTCATAGAAACCACCTGACCTTGCAGTGTTAGAATTTATTCACTTGACGGTAGGCGGGTACTTTTTATCATTTAACCAATTGCTGCTATTTGGTAGTCACATATGTAACAGCTCTAACTGGTATATTAAGCTTTTCCCAAATCCCGTAGGAAGAAGGGCAATAACGTCTTTCCCCTTGATGAGATTCACCAAACATTCTCTTTATATTTTTTAAATCCTCCATCTCAAGAACTGTTGGCAACACAGAATATATGGCTCTTTGCAGACTGACTGGTGCCCGAACTTGCACTTCCGGTGTTTTTGGGAACCATCTAGTGTATTTTGATTTCTAACCTAGTTGCTGGAGAGAAATTAAATTGAGCCACTTAAATTGAGGTGGCACCAGCCTGGTTACTAGTTTGTAGGCCTGTTATTGAAATACCATTATTGGTGATGAAATTATAGAGGATGATATTAAATGCTACTATATCACTGACATGACCCTAAAGCAGAATTTCCCCACAAAATGAGCTGAAATAAATAAATGGAACAATTAATAGAAGTTATCAAATTAATCCTCTGCAACCCAAATATTCAGTAAAGTCCAAAAAAATATCCAAACGCTTCCCACTTGTACAAAGAAAACTTTACTGACTACATCGACTCCCAAAAATAATTGTTCCATCTGTCATGTACTGAATCGTAAGTCGATATGGTATTTATCATTACAGACCTACTGCCCAGTTTAGGGATATTTTTATCATTAGGTTAATTGAAAATCGTGATTATTGAGGTCACAATATAATTGTAAGAACTAAAAATAATAATAATCGTGACAGTTTTTGAAGCAAAATTAAGACTTTTTCAATTCAGTCTATTCTATTCTAAAAGGTATACCTAAATGTTACATACAAGAGGAACAGTAACTTGTCAGACTGGTGTGAATGGAATAAAATGAATGATTTCACTGTTCATGGTGTCAATAATCGTGAATAATCATTCTGTTTCTTCTCACAATAAAATAACATTAAAATGTGATCATGTGACATATAGTCCTGATGTCGTTTTGCTTTGGTTGAGTGACAGGTCCTGCTTAAGGGTTAATGTCGTTAGAAGAAGAATAAAGTTCACTCAGCTGAAATAAATACATTTATAAAAATCAAATGTGAAGTTCTTGTAGTGTTCTTGAAGTTTTGTATAAAGAATTGGATTATGGGAGTAGTCAAATAAAGCTCACCAAGGCAAGCAGTTATAGTGGCGAATTTGGAGCCGAATTCCATGTTTGGAATTCTGACCACGAGTGTCATAGCAAAGAAGATCCAATCATGAGTGAGGCTGCACTGCTCCAATGCCCCTTCCCACCCGCACCGCTGGGTTAGTGGGGCTCATAAACTCTATCACTCAAACCTGTTGCTAATGCCAGCGGCAGTGACCTCGGGGAAAGAAGACCGCTGTTTTGTCTGTTATTAATGTTCAATGATGATGATTTAGGGACAAAATAGTGAAATACAAACACCAGGATCATGTACAGTGGGTTAATACAAACATTTTAAGGTCAGAATGACAAGCCTGACAGCAGCAGTAGCAAAGAGGGGTGACATTTTTAAATAGAAAGTGAATTATAGTTGATGGAGCTGGAAGCGCACCTATACTTACTTAATATTTGGAACACAGCGGGTAGCAAGTTAAATCCATTTATATACTGTGTGTATAATCTATAGTAGCAAGACTGCATCCCCACTTGTCATGTTTGCTTAAATATGTTTAGTTAGGGCCAATTCATTTTGCAACAATGAGAGCCTGGGCTTCATTTTGCACTGTGACTCTTCAGGTCATCCACATCAAAAAGTCTAGAGGTGGACGATTTTGTATTTTGCATGTTGTTACCATGGTGATGCCCCATAGGGCCCACGTTATTGTAAAGTGGTACCGAAATGTCCCATTAATTAAATAAAAAAAGAAGGAAGAAGGGAAAACTTGACAGTGACTCTTGATATAATCTCAGCTAAAAAAGTCACAGGGACCCATGTCGTATTTTGCATGGTATTGCCATAGCGCTGAAACACAACAGTTCACATGTATGTTGACTGTGTGTGGTACACCCGACACAGGTACACCCTGAGCCACAATAACTAAAAGTACTTGAAAATGATACTGTTCAAGTGGCAATATTAAAGGGCCCATATTTCAACACTTTCTAGGTTATAATGTTGTTTACTCATCACAAATATAACTCAAGTTATGTTTTATTTAACTTATTCCACCTTAAGTAACAGAGCATTTTGAGCTTTGAAGATGTTTGAAGAAGACAAACTAAAGGGTTACTCAAATTTGTGAATGAAACTAAATACAACTCCAGGTATGTTTTTGAAGAGCTAACAACATTATAACATGACTTAAAGGAACAGCCTGGAATTTTGGACATAGGACCTCATTTCCTCGTGAGCCAGACTGTTGGAGACATGTGGAGACGCTTATTCCATCCAGTCCTTGTATTTGCAGAGATCGCTGATGCTGTGTCAATGGCCATAGTTAGCCTGCTACTAAAAATAGTCTTATACACTCCACAAAGCACCTGAAGCAAATCTATTATTACGCCAGACTGTCGATGTGAATGTCTGTGTTGATAGATAACTTTAGAAGTAAAACCAACCTTGCATTTGAAGGATTTATGTCTGAGCAGCAGCAGCGAGTTGTACTTCCTGATAGAAGGCTTGGCAGCGGCGACTGATATATGAGAAAATAGTCCCTCATTATGAGACGATTCATGCGATGCAAGGTTACTTTTATTTATATAGATTATTATTATTATTTATATAGAATAGATTTGCTTTAGGTGTTTTGTGGAGTGGGTAAGACTGTTTTTAGTGGCAGGCTAACTATGGCCATTGACATGCACTAGCCTAGCACCAGAGACCTCTGCAAATACAAGGACTGGAAGGAATTTTTTAAGAAGTGTCTCCACACGTCTCCAACACTCTGGCTCACTAGGAAATGAGGTTCTATGTCCAAAATTCCGAACTGTCCCTTAAAGCTCACAGGAGTCAATTTTGCGCAGTGTAGGACGTTTAAAAATAATGACTCCAGTGAAACCAGTGTCTGACTTGAATAATGTTATTCTGCTAAGGATGTGAAAAGTATTTATACTCAGATACTAATCAATACTAAAACTACAGTATCAAAACTAGATACTCATTTGAACAAGTTACATAAAAAGGGACATAAAAGGACCTTTTCTGAATAGTTTTAGAAAGGTCCTGACCTACAGCAGAACTAGCATCACACCACATGGTTAAAGAAATTACTGTCATTTAGTGTTGTAAATGACTAGCTACTGTCCAAAAAGACTATTTTTACCATTGGGGGTATCAACGTAATTTTCAAGTATCAAGACTTTTCCTTACATTTGAAATTGAGTTAGAAATTTGAATATGACGACACTACAATAAAAAGTATTGCTACTTCCTTTACAGATGATACTACTTCCATTATATTCAAGTTAAAGGTATCATTTATGGGGTGGTAATGTTAGAGGATTAGAAAATCATAAAATACATAAAATCCAGTGTAATATGTATGCATTAAAAAGAAAACTTAGCTGTTGTGCATAAAAGTTAAGATTTCTGTCTGCAATTGATTAATATTTGTGATTTAAATGAAATGTATTGATTTGAAATGTTTCTAAGTATCCATCAGTGTTAATGGTATTGTCTGGAAAAGGAGGCAGGTAACATAAGATTACCCTTCTTTCTGCTCCTTTTCATTCATTTTTGGTATGTTTAATGTTAGGATACTGTTAATGTCTTTTTTAGGGAGCCTGCCTAATGACATGCTCAAAAAAGATACTAAATTGTGGCCTCAAAATACAATTTTGTTCCCACACTTTAGCTTATACGTTCCCACGTTTTAGCCAATTCATACACATCACTACGGGGTCAACCAATTGGTCCAACAGCCCAATAGTCCGAAAGCCCAATAGTCCGACCATGCACAGTAGATATGCATGGATGACTTATAACGTGCTGAGGATAAACATACATTTGGAGTGTGGATGAAATTCTCGTTCGTTTACAGAGCCACACCACAGAGGGAAGCCAGAACAAGAAAATTTACACTGTGTCATTAGCAGATTATAAATATATATTATAAGTGTATATATTTAGATACACACCGCAACCGCAGAGCCAATCGCCAGGACTACACCAGGACCTATGGGCTGACCCTGTAGTGATGTGTACGAATTGGCTAAAACACGGGAACGAATTAGCTAAAGCTTACATATTGTGGGAACAAAATAGTAATTTGAGGCCACGATTTAATATCTTTTTTCGCACACGTCATCAGGCGGGCTCCCTTTTTATGGTTTATGAACAGATTAAATAAATAAAATAAAATAAAAATTATAATAAAGGAAATTAATAATGGTTTCTTTGTTTAAGAAAATGCATGGAAAATGAAAAGGAGCATTCTGCCAAAGAGTGTGTGAATATTGGAATGCAGTACTGTTGTAAAGATGTGAATCTCAATGAAAGTGAGTCAAAAATAGATCAGCTTGTACTAACTATTCTCCTCATTTCACAGGGACAGAGTTTTGGCTCAGACTTGGCCTCCTGGGTTTTAATAGACACATACTTCTCCAGATCACATCCGGCTTCAGCTCCACGCACACAGTGAGTCACACAGTACTGTAACACTGGAGATGGGAACATGGGGCAGAGATGGAAAGCTGTTTTGAGCTTCTACTGTGAAAAGAAAATAATACACTCATGCAAAAGTTCTTAAAGGGAACTGCGTAAGATTTCTATTTCTATGTTACTGCTTTGTCGGGACTGTGAGATTAAATGATCTATCTCTATGGGGACTAGTGTCATAATCTCGAGACCGGCCTTGAGACTGTTTTTTGTGGTCTTGGTCTCGTCTCGGACTCGACCGCATTTGGACTCGGACTTGTCTCGGTCTCGAGGTCTGACACTCGAGAAGTGATAAAATGGAGATAGATTTATAAAAATGTTGCTATATATGCACCAAAATAACTGTAAAATACAAATAAATGTCAAAAATTACAAAGATGGTCTCGATCTGGTCTCGATGGGTCGTGGTCTTGGTCTTGTCTCGGACTCGGTCTTTAAAAGTCCCGGTCTTGTCTCGTCTCAACCTTTAAAATTCTTGGTCTTGTCTCCACAGATCTGACCTATAATTGGTCTAGTTTTGGTCTCCATGAAGATAAGGTAAGAAAGGTTTAATGCCATACTGTGAAACATTCCAAACAAAGCAATAATATCAACACAGAGAAAAGTTACACAAAGCACTTATAAAAATATAAGAAAACTCTCTATTTCCTGTCATTTTAAACATATTTTTCAACTTTCCTTCACAAATTGTTTCTTGACTGATATAAAAATATCAATTATATTTACAACATGTATTATTCCACCAGATTAAGAAACATTTCTGAATTTCTGTTTGGGAGAAGAACTGTAAATATGCAGGGTTTGTGTGTTAAACATCTGCAACTGAGGCTACGTTTACACCAAGTATGTTGAGAAACAAATATTTCCCTCCCTCCGTTTTCCAAAATAACATCGTGCACATAGCATTGTTTTCAAAAAAGTTTTCGTTTACATCAACCCGCATAAATAGACCATCAAGCACCATCATAACTACACCAAGTTCGTGGGCGGCTCCTGGATTAGATTAAAACCTGTAGCATTTATTTCATTGTAACAGTTGTAAGTACTACTCAAAACTACCTTGGAAAATGTACATCAGTGAGTGGACTCGCCTCTCCACAGATATGTTACAGAAGTGGCAAAATTGCTGACCTCTGAGCCTTATTTGTCTCTGGTCATTGATATGATACATCAGCTGTGTGTGCAAATGCAAACACATGAAAAGAGTTTGGACCACTAGCAAAAGCTAAACACACTTTTGGCACATCAGTTGCGTAAAACTCCATTTATATCACTGTACATACAAATGCAAAACTGTAGTTTTCCAGAATTTCTAGAATTTTTAGAAAGACTACAGACTACTAGAAAGATTGCATGTAAAGATGGGTACAAACGATGGGAAAAGTCTCAGTTTTTTAAAATACCCGTGTATGTGTAAACGGGGCCTGAAACAAAACACAACTCCACGTATGTTTTCCATGAGGATACAACATTATTCTGATCTATAATTATAAGATCAGAAAATAGGGCAATATGGGCCCTTTAAGGCAAAAGAACTTAGCCACTGACAATCACTGACTATTATTACTCTCAATTGAAAGCGAATATATGGCCATTACAATGTAGAAGATACAATATTCATGCTACAAATGCCCTGTAGCTTTCAGCCAAAGATGTGGTACATTTCTAAGAATAGATAGCTTTGATCCTTCAGTGGAACAGAAAAAAGAACTTATTGAGATGTGAATAGGCATCTTCATGACTCATAACAGGATTAAAACGTCTTCACCAGAGCATGCCAAACAAAATATAGGCCCATATACTCACTGTGTGCCAATTCTATACAGTGCCATGTCTTTCAAATGGAGACAGACACATCACTGAGATTTACTTAATTACAGTTACTTCCAATGTACTTCCATGGTTTTTTTTTTTTGTTTGTTTTTTATCAATATACATTTTAAAGGGACACCATAGAACCTTTCTGGTGAAGGGCTCCCCACCAGCTTGTCTTCATAGATATTACTGCTTTGCCACAAATATTCCACAGTATGGCATTAAACGTATCTCTCTCTATGAAGACAAGCAGGTCACCCCACTATTACAATTACAGGTTAGATCTGATTTATTGTCAGTAAAAGTAGTGCTTCTATGTCAAATTATGAGTTAGGGCTGAATGACTTGCAATTTTTCTGACAACCTTTGTGACTGCGATTGCTGTTTTTATGCAGAATAAGAAATTTGAGGAGTAAATTATTGTACTCTGCAATTTGCTAATTCCATTCATTCAAATATTCAATTGAGTTTCAATTGCACTGAATTTTGCAGCCCTACTATGACTTTTATGTAACTACACCCATGTTGGTTGCAGATTGGTAGCAAAAAGACACATTTCCAGAGTTCATTAAGAACAAAGAATCTTGGGAGATTGTTTTGTTGCTTGTTACACGAGATGTTGCACTCTGTTCAAAAGCCAGATTAAAAAACAAATGAATGGCCTAATTTATTTTGCTTGTTGTGGTGAATTTTGATGTTGCTTTGTTGGGTTTTTGGCTGGGCTCTGTGTGAGGGAGGGGCAGGTGTCAGCTGGACAGGTCACACAGATAGAAAAGACAAATTCAAGTTCCATGATTTTTTTCAGCTTTTACAACAATTTATTCAACTTTCAGACCTACATTATTTGCTATTTTCATCAAGTCTAGTGTTTAGTGTACACTCTACCTTGCATGTCCTAAGATGTTACGCATCGAGGAGTGTGACAGTGATTATTGACCAAATTGTTCACTTTTTTACAGAGATGAATGCAGCTTACAAAACTTTTGGGAATGTTCCAGATTGAAGTGACAACACGTTAACTGTGGGAGAGAGTGGTGAAAGCAAAACGTTAAGCACAGACTTTGGAAATCTAGTGGGGCTTCAATCAAACCCCAAATGACAACCTGTGTGTAATTAAATGATCTCTAAAAAGTGACCACCCTTTTTGTTTCCTCATGTTTCAGATTCAAATTTGAAGTTTGGAGGAGCTGATTCCACCAGCACTGCTAGTCGTTGAGTCTTGTTATAGATTCCCTATTTTTGTTCTAGAGTGGGGGATGGTCCATGTTGTTGGCTTGGTGTTAGAGCAGCATGGTGGTACACACAAGGCAAAAAGTTTGAAAAGGGCCAATCAAGAAATTGAAATATGGGAATTTTAGCTTTTGTGAGATGAATTAGAAATGTAAAAAAAAAATGGCTGAAACTTCAGTAGATGGACGTCCATTCATACCTGATTGATACAACTAGCCCTGCCTCTGGGAGAGTTTGAAATCTGCTGAAATCCTAGACACTGAGATGATACAAGAAAGACAGTGGCTCTTTCTGTAAGAGACATGCGCAGTAGAGTGTGAAGTGACGTAGTGTGATTACCCGTCTATAAGGAGCTGTTGCAGGATTGTCGAAATAAAGGGTGGCAGACGTGGTTGTACGCTGTTGATGTGGGATGCAGGGGATTCTCAGCACCATCGCTTTGGAAACTGCTGACAGAAATTGGACTAAGAGGAGAAGGAAGGAGAAAGAAAATGCAAAGACTCCGTGAGCAGAGAGAGCCTCCTGTTGGGTTTGGAACAGGAGGGAGGAGATGAGTTGGCAGCCAGGAGAAAGTGAGTAGTGACTGGCAAATACTGCTGACCCACCAGCAGGACAGTTTTTATGGTTAAGGGTCAAAACAGTTATCGCAAGAAGAACTGAAGAAGAAGCATCCTTGAATGTATGTTATCACTATAACTTATCTATCTCAATGGAGAATGTTCTGAAGTAAAGTTTTAACTTTCTTTAATTTCCAGGAATCATGCAGCTGACTTTTCACCTCCATAAATTTAGAAACGTGACTGGCTGGCTGTGAGGAGGCGGTGACTATAAATATTGACACATTCTCAGTAGTCAGTAGAGCTCCAGCCCTTCTTTGTGAGCCCAGCACAGAGCACCATGGCTTCTCCTTTCAAGTCCCTCGTTCATGATGATGAATGTTATGACAAGTCCTACGCTGTGTATAGGATGCATACAGATGCACAACAGTACAGAGAAGACTTCATTCGCAAGATTCTACCTGACCATCTGGCCAGGTAATGTGCTAATTATTTATATATTTTAGTCCCACTGAAAGGTGAATTGTTAAAATAAATGTTTTTGTTTTAAAGTAGTTTTGTCACTCATAGAAATGATCTGGAGTCAACATTTGCTTATTTATTTTCATAAGGGAAATTGGGTATAATTACACTTAAAAGAAGAAAAAACATATTTTAATCTTATGTTAAGTAATTTTTTTTGTTTACGGGGTGGATGTTCTATTCTAGTTCTTTATTGCTCAAAAAGAAAGTGGGTACTAGTCATACCTGAGTATTTTAAATTTAATACGATGTCTTCGTTTGGTGGAGTCAGGATTGCTTAACAATTGAATTTATAATTTAATCCAATTATTTGTTAATAGGATTTGCACTGTGCAAAGATTCCTTTTTGTTTAAATAGTCATTTGAATAAGTATTAGTTATATGTTTAGGTGTGTGCTATGAAACAAGATCATATCAAAATTAATAAATAAATGCTAATTATTATCAATAAGAAAATTGCTGAAAGTCTGCAAAAAATGTTGACAGTAAGACAAACCCCAAAAATGACTCAGACCAGCATCTTGAAGAAAAGTAAATTGTACTCTGTAACTGTATTGTGTCTCTTAGCATTGGGGATGGGAAATCGATAAAGATCATTGGACTTGGGACTGGAGAAGGTAAGAGTTTATCACATGAGTGCGTTACACTATAACTGTAGATGTTGAATAATCATTAAATAGTGATGTCAGAATAAGTGCCTGGTTTTGAGCTCTTTTAAATGCAGGAGAACAAAGCCATGAAAACCTAGAGTCCTGGGAACATAAAATGATGTTGTTTTATGATGTAGGTGATTATGACATAGAGATGCTCTCCCAGATGCATCTGAAGCACCCAGGGGTGCTGCTGGATAACGAGGTGGTGGAGCCAAGTGCACTTCTGATTCACAAATATAAAGGTACAGAAGAAATATATAATCTGTGTCACTGTGTTCAAAGGTGTCTACAGTACAATGTTATGCCACTGATTAAAAACATGAAAAACAGAATGAGTTCATTTTAAATGGTTTAAATGGTTTTCAGTTGTCCAAAATTATTTCTAACTTATTCCAAGCATCCTAATTATTCCTGCAGTGGCGCCTACAGGAGAACACCTGTATGCACTGTGTGTACCTTGAATGTGCTAAGACGTTACGCACAGAGGAGCGCCACAGTGATTACTGACCAAAGTGTTCACTTTTTTTGTTTTTTTTTTTACAGAGGACCGGGCTGTAAAACTGTAAAACCTGTTGTTTTTGGCATTGGGCTATTGTGGAGGGTCTGTCACCCACTTTGCTGTGCATACCTTCCCACAAAATCCTGCAGGCAGCCCTGATTCCCCGGGATGAGTTTATAAGCACCTTTTAAACATTTCAGAGACAAGAGTGGAGTTACTGTGATGGTAAAGTTAGCAACAATTAGCATGCTAACAGTGCTAACATGTAATTAGATGCAGTCAGCATATTTTTATGATTATTAGACTTAGACTTATTCTGACCTCAAAACCTGCTCTTACAATATATCTGTACTGATGTAAGGCAAATTTTGTTCAAACACATGAGAAACACTTAGTACAGGGTCTTTAAAGTGGAACTAAGCACTGAATCAACTTGAGAACTGTGCATATGGTGTTCTTATCTACTGCTCGTAGCCCTTTTTGGGTCGCAATTTTAGAGCAAACTACATTGTAGGTGTGACCACAGCAAGTTCAAGTGCTTTGTGACATCACACTGGACTGCCCTGAATACAACCTGCAGGGGCAGAGTTTAAAGTGTGGATACCTGTTAGACCAATCACACTGTTCCTTATACCACCCTGACCTTGTCCTTACTCCCCCTTCACTCTCCCCTACAAGGTTAATAATAGGTACTGCCCAGTTTATCAGCTTGAAATGTGGCCATGAGAAGAGTTGAGGTGTTAAGTTCCACTTTAAACATCACAAATCGAATCTAAATATTTGTATTCTTCTAATTTCTGTGTGTGTGGTGCAGAGAGGGCGGCTCAGATGTTCCACTTGGACCCAGTCAACTTCACCTGGCACCAGATGACGGCCTCCGAGTTTGAGGAGCAGTGGAGACAGAGAAATATCACCAAGAAGGTCGACTTCATCCACATGCTCCATGTATGTACGCTCTCTTCAAATGATACTTTACAATGGTCATCAACATATAAATTGTGGGAAAGGTACACTTTCTTAACCTTGCACAGCAAGACAGATTCACACGATATTTGTGAGTTCACAAACTCACAAGAATCCATCTTAGCATACCAGCAAAGCCTGATCTCGTCATATTTCAGAAGCTAAGAAATGTCGGACCTGCTTAGTACTTGGATGGGAGACCACTGGGAAAATCAGGTGCCACAGTGGGCCGCCTGTGGCAAAAAGTGTCACTGTGTCCTTAAGGAAGACTCTTTATCCACATTGCATGGTAAGAAAGTGGTGTGTGTGTCCACAGACGAGAGCCATAGTACTGGAAAGACGCCTCGCCATGAGTGTGTCTTTACTTTGGGAATGACTGTTGGCAGTAGGGAAAAAAAAAAATTCTAAATCAAAAATATCAATAGAAAAGTGCATGGAAGTATTACATTATACGTATTACATCAGCCCTTGTATTTGTGTATCTGAATCCACAGATGCTGTACTATGTTGAGGATCTTGGAGCTACCGTCAGATTCTATCAGAGTCTCCTGAAGAAGAACGGCAAAATGCTGATAATTTTATTGTCAGGTAAGAGGAATGCAGAATACAAGCATGTCAAAATCTCTCTACACAGGGGTGGGTGAGATTGACACAGGGATGAGTTCATAAAATGAGATTCACTAGCTAGGACCACACCAACAATGATATAGTGTGAAGAAGTTTATTGATAATGTACAAAGCGGGGCAGAGATGGCTGGGTTGAGACTCTCGGTGGGAGCTCCGTCTCAATCTTCAATTGGCCCAGCCGGAACAGGACCTCCTGTAGAGGTCTTATGACTGAAAGACAAAATAGGGGATGGGAGGGTGGGGTCAAGTTAGCCGAGACAAACTGGGATGATGGGAAAGGCTGCTACATATCGGCTTCTGGGAAATTAGAGGCGTGGTCGAGGTGAGTTGTGGTTCACTGGTGAGAGGAGAGGGCGGTTGAGGCGTGGTCCTGCTCCTGAATCTCAGTTAATCATATTAACTACATTTAGGAGCGTCCTACGCGTTGTGTTCCAAATAGGAAGTGAGCATGGGCGCTTTTCAGGTCCATCATCTCCAACTGTAGACCACATACAGATCAGGTCAGGTGCTCTGCTCAGTTCTGATGGCGATCCTACGTCACGCCATTGGGTGTGTCTTATAGATCGGAGTAACACCCAAACCGACCTCAGCCCATTATCATGGAAACGCTCCCTGGGTGGAGGTGGCCCCTTCCTAACTGCTCCCCGCCAAGGACTGCGTGAAATTAACTGTTTGTTTTTCCCGTATCCATTGAGACTGGCTAGCTAAGGAGTTAGCTATGGACATTTGAGATACTACAGCAGGGGTATTCAACTAAAATTTGAGCAGGTCTTGTTAGAGAAAATCTCCTCAAGCAGAGGACCAGGACATCATAATGTCTAACTTGCATTATGATTGTGATACAAAAGTAGCCTGGTTTTATCATTGTCTAAATGTATGAGCAACAGACTGTCAAATCAACAAAAATACAAGTTAAAACATTTCAACGAAATGTATTGTTAACACTGAAACACACAGTAGGCCTACATTAGATACAGGGCTGCAGTTTAAAATAAATTAGATAAAATAAATAAAATGGCTAAATTGTGCATCTTAAAACAAAGTGCTTAACCTCAGTAAAAAAAAAAAAGAAATAGCAGCATCTTGAGTTTCCCTTTTTCTTTACCTTTGACATTTCGACTTAACAGTCTCAATACATTTTTCAACAAATATCTCAAACCCTCTTTCCTCTGTGTCTGCATTCAGAGTTGTGATCACCTTGAATGCACAGATTTGATTGGCTCAGTAGCGTCATGATTAGTTTGTATGTTCCTTGGTCCATTAATACAGTGGTGTAAAGTTTAGACTCTAAACTGAATAGGCCTTATTCAATTGATTCAACTTATAAAATGAACTGCATTTAGCCTAGTGTTCAGACTGGGCTCAGATGAGCTGGAGCGGGGAGTGATGTTAGGTGCCTCAGCCTGAGAAGCACTTTCCCAGGGAAGAAACAAATGTGCGGAGGACAGACTGTTCAGAACAACATATAACGAACCAAACTGGATTTTTGCTTCTGTCCGGATGCATTGCACCACCTCAGAACCAGCCGCAGTCCTTGAGGACGAAGAACTGGAGCAACCCGCCGGATCTGTAGCCCACAGAGCATTCTCACTTTCCCCACATGGAACCAGCGCGCAGAGGACAGCACAGAACTGCTCAGACCCAGTTTATTGCACACTGGTCTTGCTCGCCCCCGTCTCGAAACCAGCACATGGAGGACAAATCCTCCAGACCTATCTGACCAATGCGCTCAGAGGACGGCACAAGACCAAGGACCGGACCCCCAGCCTCGTCCTGAGGGGTTGAACGCTACATCAGATGCTCCTGTGTCTTTAGCGCTGTCGGCTGTTGCTGTTACCTGAACTCAGTGCTTCTGCTCTGGGCTGATGTGCGGTAAGTTCCGTACAAAGTTCTACATGCTGCTGTTTTATGAGCTCATGATGATGACTTGAGATGAGGACGGCATTAATGGGGAGCATAGATATCTTTCGTAATAGGAGATACCGCTGTTTACCCGGAACATCGGGCTGACCCTGTCCGGGTCCGTATGGGTCCAGACTCGGACCACAGCCCGCCAGTTAGTGACCCTTGTGCCACAGGCTTTTACGCCATAAGTGGAAATGTAGCAGATGTTCCAGAGAAATATTTTGAGGGAATGAACCATTTCATCACTGACCTAATAATAAAATAAACATCAAAGTGAGGCCTTTCCTGTTGTGTTCACCTCATTCCCCTTGAACACTGTGATGCTGCAGGACACAGAGGAGGGACAGTTTTGGCTCTTCCTCTCCTCAAATTGTCCTGACACAGATCTGCTGACCCTCCTTGAACAGTCATCCTGTTAAACTGACCTGAGACCTTTGACTAAGACACACTGTAAATGTTGTTGCAGCAAAACTTAAACTTATCTCAGGATCAATAAAGTATCTCTCTCTCTCTGTCTTTCTCTGTATCTGTATCTGTCTCTTTCGTTTCCATTGGTTGACTGTGGAGCAGGTTGGTTTGGGCTGCAAGTGTTTCCACTGTACTAAACAGGATTAGATTCTAATCATGTTGAAAATGAAGATGTCATTTATTATAATTTAGTTTAGTGTTCGAGGGCCCATATTACACTGCTTTCTGATCTGTGTTATAATGTTGTTACCTCATGAAAAAGACACCTGGAGTTGTGTTTCGTTTCATTCACAGATGTTTAACACATAAATTCTTCGTGATTGTGATTGTGATTTTTTGTGTTATTTTTTGTTACAGCTGAGTCTGGCTGGGTGAAGATGTGGAGAACCTTCTACACTCAGCTGAGCCCCCCAGGGACTCGTACTTGGTTTCCACAACGGAACACAGCAGAAATAAAGCAGCTGCTAGATGAAGCTGGAGTCCCGTACCAGAGTTATAAGGTGCCGTCTATGCTGGACATCACCGACTGTTTCACTGAAGGACATGAGACTGGAGAGCTGATTCTAAACTTCATCACAGAGACAGTGAACTTTAGAAAGACAGCCCCACATGAGCTCAGAGAGGGGGTACTGAGGATGCTGCGAGACCCTCAGTGCAGTATGGAGAAAAATGGAAGAATTCTGTTTAATAAATGGGAGGAGTTCATTATCGTGGAAGCAACCGATTAATGTGATTTTATGGTGCCTTTAGACTTATCGTGGTTTGGTGCTTGTTTGTAGGCCTGTTATTGAAATAATATTGGTGATGAAACTATAGAGGATGATATTAAATGCCATTATACCACTGACAGGACCCTGAAGCAGGATTTCCCCACAAAATTAGCTGAAATAAATAAATGGAACAATTAATAGAAGTTATCAGATTAAACCTCTGCAACTCAAATATTCAGCGAAGTCCAAAAAATATGCAAACATTTCCCACTTGTACAAAGAAAACTTTACTGACTGTATCAACTGACAAAAATAATTGTTCCATCTGTCATGTACTGAATCATAAGTCGATATGGTATTTATCATTACAGACCTACTGCCCAGTTTAGGGATATTTTTATCATTAGTTTAATTGAAAATTGTGATTATTGAGGTCACAATATAACTGTAAGAACTAAAAATAATAACAACAACGATGTTGTATTTTGCATGTTGTTGCCATGGCGATGCCCCACAGGGCCCACATTATTGTAAAGTGGTACTGAAATGTCCCATTAATTAAATAAAAAAAGAAGGAAGAAGGGAAAACTTGACACAGTGACTCTTCATATAATCTCGGCTAAAAAAGTCATGGGGACCCATGTTGTATTTTACAGAGTATTGCCATAGCACCGAAGCACAGCACTTCAAATGTGTGTTGACTGTGTGTTCAGTGGTACACCCGACACAGGTACACCCTGAAGCCACAATAACACATGCGTTCAGTGCAAGATAAGAATTCTGTAATAAGAGTTAACCTGACCCTCTAACACTAACCTCATCATTGTACAAAGCACAGACTGTTTTCAACACAATGCTTCGACCAAAAACAACAACAGAACAGCAAACACAAACTGTTTTGATGCAGTGTTTTGGCTTTCAGTATGACATGATTAAGACTTGGCTCGGCTACAGTCAGGAGCGATTCCCAAATGGAGGGTTGGGCCCAAAAGTGGGTCACGACAAGGTGCCTGGGAATTACTATTTCAATGTTTGGAAAATAGGAACAACGAAACATGGAATACAAATAACACAATTTAAACTAGGTCAAGCTCATGATGAGGGATATTCAGTCAATTAAAAGTATTATAAACTGGATTGTGCAGAGTACGGAAAGCAGATTAAAATAGTTTTAATTTCTCTCACATTTAAGTGAGAAAATCATGATTATGAACTGAATAACTAACTTTAAAGATTGGCCGTTTAAGAATAATTCTAAAATCCAATATAAAAATCTTCATTTTATCTTTCGTTAAAAGCTGCAGTGACAGAGTAAGACGCAGTGTAATCTACTTTGTAAAATCAGGTTATGATTCAGCACTTGCACTAACAAAGCCTCATTTGCACAAAAGCCATGTTATTGCAGATTCTTTTACCAGTGCAGTGGGTGATAACAGAGCAGAGCCCAGGGTCCCATCTCCAGATCCTGTTCTACAGGCTCCTGCTCACAGGATTACACTACAATATACAAAACCAAAATATCACCTCTGATCATATGGATTTAGTCTCTAAACAAACTCCAAAGCAAATATGTAAACTGCAAAAAGCAATATCTAGCTACATTAAAATTACTTAAATTAAGAAAATTGTACTTTATTTGAGTCGCAACTTGACAAGTAAAATTATCTACCAATGATATATATACTTTTTAATTCGGGCAGCAGTAAATTTTAAGATAAGATCAGCTACAGAACATCACTAAACTGAGACCAATTTTATTAACTGATGAACTTGAAATAACTGCTCACGCTTTTATTTCATCTCGTTTAGATTTTTGTAATTCTCGTTTACTTGTTTTAATGCTTTTACACTTAAGCAGCTGCAACTTGTACAAAACCAGGCTGCAAGGTTTGTAACAGGCGAATTCACATTACACCAATTTTATCTTCACTCGGGGGACGTCTTTCAGGCTGTGGCCCCCAAATTATGGAATGACCTGCCCCTAGCCCTCCATGAGGCAGAGTCTGTAGACTGTTTCAAAAAGCAGTTCAATACACTGCTTTTTAAACAGGCTTTTATTTGACTGTGTAATTCCTCTCTTTCTGTATATGTTGCACTGTAAAGCACTTTGTGATTATTTATCTGTGAAAAGTGCTAAATAAATATCGGCTTACTTACTCACTTAAGAGCATAGAGTTGTGTTTTTCTTATCTTAAGTGTAGCAAGATGTATGTTCATATTTTAACTACAAAAGGCAGATAAATAGATAAATTTACTTGTCAAGTGAAATTGACTCAAATCATCATAAAACTTTCTTAACTGAAGTGATTGTTACTTGGCTAGATCTGAGTTTCTGTGGTATACTCTGTGGCTGTGGTGTCTGTGTGAACAGCCTATTGCACTGTCCATGTAGGCCTGTCACGATAAATACTAGATTGACTTATCGTTCAATATATGTCAGATGGAACTATATTTGGTGGTCAGTATTTATTAGGGGTGTGCAAAAATATCAATATATCGTATTGTTTTATGTAATGATACAGTACTGATATCAGGGAGTGCTGTATCGATACATATCACCAAGAGTATGTTTTGGTATATTTTACTAAATTATTTGTTACCCCGCTACAGTTTTGTTGCTTGTTTAGAGGAAAAAACTCATTTATGCAACACATTTGACATTTTCACTGTTTTGATGATTAAAATGTTTGTGTTTCTCACTTTGCACAAAAAGTGGTTTAACAAAGACTTTAAGTATCACAGCCATGATTTAGCCTTTATTTCTTATAGAACCGTATTGAATCGATTGTATTGAATCGAAAGTGCACTGTATTGAGATATGTATTGTATCGTGGCCTATGTATCAAAGTATATATTGTATCAGCAACTTCTTAATGATACCCAGCCGTAGTATTTATAGTGGGGACTTTTTCTTTATACTAGTGAGAAATGTTTGGTTATTATTTTCTGCAATTTGGTTTGAGCTGTAGAAGATTGAAGTATGAACTAAAATTAAACAAACAAATTACTTAAAATGCCCATATTATGCTCATTTCTGATCTATGGTATAATGTTTACTCATCAAAAACATACCTGGAGTTGTGTTTTATTTCATTCACACATGTTTAACACACATCTCCTGCATATTTAGGCTGAGTTCCACCTTGTAAACTCATTCTTCACTGTGTTTTTAAATTCCACACACCTTCACGAGAATCATTTGGATAATTTCAGCCCTGGAATTGACGATCTCTACTGAACTAAAAGTAAAGATGTCGACATGATAATAATGTGGGATTACTCAACCATGTGTGAATGAAAGAAAACACAACTGCAGGTATGTTTCTGAGGAGGTAACAACATTCTAAAACGGCTTAAAGCTCACAAGAGTCAATTTTGCGTCATATAGGATCTTTCAATTCACACTTGGACACAAACAGATATGTCTTGATACAAAGGAAGTCAGTATTCATCCAATCATGCCTTTGTAACCTCTGCTTAAATCACAGTCAAACCCACTGACCCCTCCCTGTTGTCTCCACTGCAGTGTGAGTGTTTCAGATCTTCTCTTAAACATGCAGATCTGATGCGTTTTCGCTGCTTTCATTCCCCAAATAGACCTTGGTTTGAGGATATTTTTAGCATTGCACTATTTTTTATGCGTCCTTGATGTTGCAAAGGTTTTAACTGGCTGGTACCATTCTGTCTTTGCTGCTCTCCGGTTTTTTCATTTCTGCAGACGCCAGGTTCAACATTTGATGAGTTCTTTTTTTACAGATTTGTCTCACTTTGCGTTATATTTGTACGGATGATTCAGAGGAACAGCGTGCGCTTTTCGCAGATCCTCTCGTGTTACTGTTTTAATTAGCTTGCAGTCTGTAGCGGAGAATCTAGTTTTAGCTTTACCCCTTTTAGATTAGAGAGGGCAGGTTATTATGGTGTTGTTTATGTGTAAAACAAAGTGAGATGATGCAAGAAATACAGATGAGAGAGACAAACAATAAAAAACACAGAAATTAAGATATTAGACATGTTCTTAGGAGGCATCTTCATATTTTTGAGTAAGTTTATGGTTAACAGTTGACCTGGGGCTTAGTGGTAAAGCTGTAAATATTGGTGGACTAAAAATATACTCTGCCGATCAATCCGTGGACTGCGTATTAAGGGGCACATATCACGCTATTTACATATTTGGATGATTTGGATGAGTTAATCTGTGTATCATTCGTTCATTTATTTTTCAAAATAAAATCAAAAATAAGAAAATGAAAAAACAACCTTTTTCTTCAGTATTTGTCTCCAAAACTGAAATGAAAAAAACAACAACAAAATAACGGATAACGGTTCGTTTTCGGTTTTTGATTTTGTGTTTAAATGAATAATGGAAAAAACAAATAACGTCCGTTTCTCGTTTCCGCGACTTAAACTGCGCTTGTCTAACATTTTAGGTGATTATGTTAACAAAATAACACTATTGCCAAAAAATATGTATTTATATGAAAAGTGTATATGCATAGCTTGCACTTACGCACTTACCTTATGTATTGATGACAGGACAGGATCGCAGTTTCTGTATCTGTTCTGCATCTGACAGATGTGGAGTTATTAAGCTTTCAGAAATATTCGTGGGCATAGACTAGAAATCAGTGCATATTTGGCTGTAGTTGAGCATATAATAAATAAAGTGAGTATTTTATCAATCATAATATGAATTGAAAAGTTATGGCATCAAGAACAACAATCACGAAATGAAAATTTCCGATTATGCTTATTAAATACGAATTTACAGAAGCGACTGAAAATATGTCATCACTTCACAGGTATTATTTATTGAGAAGAAGAAACATCGATCAAGACGTTGGTCTTTTGCGCCGCATACAGATTGAACCAGGATTGATTCAGGACTTAACCAGGATTGATCCCAAGACTAGACCAGGAAGACTGAACCAGGACTGAACCAGGACTAAAACAGGACTAAAGCAGGACTAAACCAGGACTGATCCCAAGACTGAACCAGTAGGACTAGGACTGAACTAGTACTAAAACTGGACTAAAACAGGACTAAATCAGGACTAAACCAGAACAGAACCAGAACTGAACCAGGAGTGTCGGGACAGGCCCGGAGGTGCGCCCGCGTAGACCATTCTGGTTCAGTCCTGGTTCAGTTCTGGTTTAGACTTGGTTTAGTCCCGTTTTAGTACTGGTTCACTCCTGGGATCAGTCCTGGTTCACTCCTGGGATCAGTCCTGGTTTAGTCCTGGTTCAGTCCTGGTTCAGTCTCTATGTGGCACAAAAGTCCGGCTTCACAGTTTAACTTGCAGAAACTTTCACAGCTGTTATCAACTTTTTTTTCCATTATTCATTTAAACACAATATCAAAAACTGAAAAAAACTAATGGTTATCTGTTTTTCATTTTGATTTTGGAGACAAATAATGAAAAAAATCTTTTTTTTTTTCATTTTCTTATTTTGGTGGATGAATGATATACGGATTTGTTTTGTTTCTTTCACACATGTTTAATACACAAATTCTGCAGGTTTTCTTCCCTCAAATGGAAAAAAGCTCAAAATGCTCTGTTCCTTCTTGTGATGTCAGGAAGTGCTCCACTGTGTTTTTAAATTTCATACACATGCCAAACACCTTCACTAGAATCATTTGGATAACTTCTGCCCTGGAATTGCCGATCTCTACTGAACTAAAGATAAAATTTAGCTTTTTAACTTGAAAATTACCACTACATGACAGACTAATAATGCATGATTACTCAAACGAGTGAATGAAACAAAACGCAACTCCATATATGTTTTTGTTGAGAAAACAACATTATAACATAGATCAGAAAAAAGCATAATATGGGTCCTTTCATGTAAAGACTAGCGCTATCACCTCACACAAAAAAGGCTCCTTATTCTCCCATTAACCCAAAACAAACACAAAAGGTAAAATCCTAAAAAGGGTCGTCCTGGGTCAAACTCCGATAGTGCATTTCTACCTTCAAGGCACTCCCAGCACTTTACATCAAAGAACCACTCACCCATTAACCCACACATTAAATTCATACAGCAGTCTGCGCACAGGCTCGGGTCGAGGCGGGTTAAGTGTCTTGCCCAAGGACACAACAACAACAGTATTCATCTGCGTTCGCTAGGATCAAGCCACCAGAGGATCTACCGACGATGTTTACGCCTCCGGATCAGAGGATGAACACTACTACTACTGACTGAGCTATGGCCACTCTCGAGATGTTTTCCCCCGGGCGCCTCTCCACAGAACGCACCTGTAATTTGGCCTAGATAGTGAAGTTCAATGCCATATACTAGAAACATCTTTGTGAAAATCTATCAGAAAAGAACGATTAGGGGAAAATGTCCAATGCAACTTTTCTGACAAGCATTGTGATCATGATTAGATTTGCGATTTATGTTTTAATAATAGGTCAGAGATAATAATAGTTTACATTTTTACATCTATTGAAAAAGACTGAAATATGACAAAATATTACAAAAATCACATTTCAAAACACTGATCAGTGGTGGAACGTAACAAAGTCAAAGTCGTAAAGTACTGTCCTTAAGTATACATTTTACGTATCTGTACTTTACTTAAGTACATTTTAAAGTGAATTTTACTTTTACTTCACTACATTCGAGAGCAGGTATATGTACTTTACTACCCTGATTCATCAGTCTGACCTCACAGAATTAGAATTCGTTCACTCGATGGTAGGCGGGTACTTTTTTTATTTAACCACTCGCGGCTGTTTGGTCGTGACGTATGAAATGTGCCAAATCCCATAGGAAGAAGGGCAATAACGTCTGTCCCCTTGATAAAATTCACCAAACATTCTCTTTGTTCTGGCTTTAAATCCTCAATCTCGGGAATTTTGGCCAACACAGAATGTCTGGCTTCATCTACATCCATCTCGAGCACTTTGTTTACTGTTGTGTTGTACCACAAAAGGCGTCGTGGCTTCACAGCTCTTCGCTGTGTTCTACAACTTCCGAGATTCTTGCAAACCGTCTAGTGTATTCTGACTCCTGATCTAGTCGCTGGAGAGAAATGAAATCGAGCGGAGGCACTAAGTGGCACCAGCCTGGCTAGTACTTTACTTGAACAGGGCTGAAAAGTAAATGTATTTTGATTATTGTTTGAGACCCACTGAAAATGCTGAGGGGTTTATTTTTAACACAACTGTATTTTGAGCAAAAAAGAAATATAGAAATAAAAACAGCTAGGAACAAAACAGTCGATTCATTTGTTTTGGGGTTAGGAGCTTTGAATAGATTTTCTGTTCTATGATCAAACTCATCACAGATACAAACTAACTGCTAAAGTGTTTCATTCATCTATTTTTATTCATTGCTATTCATGATTTTTAACAATATTGTACATCTACAATCGTTTTTTTGGGATAATTCTACTTTAGAGTTATTGTGTCAATGGCATAAATTAGTTTTAATATCATTAATCATCTCCGTTTTCTGTACTTTCAGTAATATATCACACTTCAAAAAGTGATTGTCATTGACAGGCCTGGATGCAGTCCTTGGCTCCTATCTTGTCTTAAGGCCACTGCTGTCCCCTTTATCATACTGTACAATGAGCTCCTCTATGGCCCTGATCATCTCCTGTCTGCTCCAGTGCTTCCACTCACTCCCCACCGCTCTGTATACCCTACAGTTTATAGGTCAACGGGCGGCCATGTTGGATATTCCCTTTACGCGTCTCCTCTGCTTTCATAAGGAGATTGATGCGCTGGTACAATGCCGGGTCAAGTTCAAGAGGTTGGGTTGGCTGTTGGTGCACATCGCTGGGGCCACTTAGTTAAAAAATAAATTAAGAAGAAATACTGTATATGAAAAATAATAATAAATGAAAACAAAAAATATAAACTACTGAGTGATTTATTATTTTCAGCTTTGAAATGATACGTAATGAAAACAAAAATAGTAAAAAACAAACAAAAAACTTTTCCTCGCATTCAATCAACACACACAAAACTACACAAAAACACTGGGCAAACAAACATTAACTGTCAGTCAAGTCCAGTCATGTCAAAAAATAAAAAATAAAAAATAAAATAATACATTTTATTAGAACGTGTTGTACCTGATTTTTACCGTCCAAAAAACGTTACTCACCATGATGACTTTATAGTGCTTTTCACAACTCTCAGTGACAAACAACTAGCATACTAACATACTCTTCCTGATTATCTGACAATAAAACACTGACAAATTTTGCTCACACTAATATTACACAGCATGAAAACAATAAACACAACAACTTTATGACTAAGATTAAGACACAAAAGTAAACAGCCATAGTCTTTGTTTGACCTAGTATTTATCATCGTGCTCATGAGACGCCATTTGCTCCTGTAGCACCTCTCCTTATTACCACTGCCTCTTTCACCTCTAACCTTGACCTGAGACTTTATTGATCGTGAGGAGCTTCAATAAGTCGGTATACAGGGTCTCTTAGCAATATCATTGTTACTGCGAATTACATGGACACAAGCAGGTGTTACTCTATATTACGCAAAATTGACTCTTGTGAGCTTTAAATCATCTTAGAACGTTGTTACCTCATCAAAACCACACCTGGAGTTTTGTTTCATTCACACATGTTTGAGTAATCCTTTATTATTAACCTGTTTACATATTTAAAGCTCAAAATGCTCCAGTCCACCTTGTGTTGTCATGAAGCGGTAGATTGAGTTTTACAGATTGGCAATTCCAGGGTTTAAATTAACCAAATGATTCTAGTGAAGGTGTATGGAGTTTAAAAACACATGTCCTGTATTACCACATGAAATCACAAGGTGGAACAGAGAGTTTTCAGTTTGAGAGAAGAACTCAGCCTGAGGAAACACCATTATAACATAGATCAGGAAACAGCACAATATGGGCCCTTTAAGTATAACATGTAAAGGCTTGCTATAAGTTCATTAAATGTGATTCTTAGCACCATTTTTAAAAGTAGAAAACAAAAGTGAGCATTTAAGAAACACATGTCTCGTGTTTGCTGTGTCTGGGTGGTTGTTTGTATCCAGGCCTGCTTTAGTGTTTCTGTGGGCTTTGTAATTACCTCGTCGTCCAAGTTTATAGAAGCCACAAGCGCTAATGGAAGTAAGGAATCTGGGCCTATAAAGAAACTGTGGTTAGCTTCAAGCACATTTGTTAAGGCAATGTGTCTGATGAGAAGGGCCAATGATGAGGGAGATTTTCCCTTTTCTCTGTAAAAGTCTGAACTAAATCCAGTTGGTGTAAAGGTGAGAGCTACCATGAGAAAATGTTAATTTGGCTCTACTTAACAGGGTCAGCCCTATGTTCCCTTATTTTTAAGATTTTTCTTATTCTTAAGATTTTTTCTAAATCACGTTATTTTCATACTGCATTTAAAGGGATGATTCAGAGTCATTTCAACCTAGAATCCTTCGCACCATGACTTCTACATTACATCTGTAGTCAGTAGTCTGCTGGATAATAGGTTGGGAGAAATGGGGATAAATTCTGATGCATATTGATGATAAAAGAAATATGTTGGAACACAGGACCTAATTTTGTAAAGACAAAAAGAATCACTTTAGAAATGAGAGAACATAAGGCTGAGGGAACATGGTCACCCACCTGCTTTCAACATTAAATACCTTTAGCCAACATACACTATAAAGGGTAACACCTTATAATGACCTACACTATAATAACATGTTTAATAGCCTTAATAAACAGTGGTGGAGGAAGTAGTCAATAAAAGTACCGATATCGAAGCAAATACTAAAGTAAAAGTAAAAGATTTTGAGATCTAATAAAGCTTCAAATCTAGTGATTTTGATACAGATTTGTGCTGACAAAATGAAATCAAAGGGGAATTGTCATGTGGGAGCAAGGATGATGTAGACTTGTGGACAAATCTTACAGATAAACATAAAGAGGGTTTAAATCAGGCATGGGAGAGATCACTAAATTACTCAGACATGCATGAATGATAACTACAACCTCTTCCGGCATGTTTTTAATGAGGTAACAACATTATAACATGGTAGAAAGCTCCAAAAACAAGTACATTTTGTATCATTACAACTAATTATTTGGCTTCATCAGCGCTAAACCAGAACAAAGCAGCTACGAAGCCAAATCTTTTCCAAAACAAAATATATCTTTTGGGCAATGAAAAGTCCTCAAAACGTCACCAATAACAGGAAGCAATGACACAAACGCATGAATACCATAACCGTGCATCAAAATTGTTTCATGAACCATCATAATTCACATTTTACCCCAATGAACTCACTGACCTCCTTCTTTGGCAACCGGTCAAATTCCACGGCCTTGGACCATCAGCTAGCATCCTATTTAGCGGACAGACAACATCCTACATGGCGCATTTGGCTTGGCGAGTTGCCCTAGCCTTACTTAATGTCAAATAATGTGACTCAAACTCGCTTGTCTGACCCTAGCTGAACCACTAGATGACCAGGGGGGCTAGTCGGAGCGCACTATTTTGGCTACACCGTCACCAGCACGCAAGCATAGTACTCCAACCACGCAAGAGCCATCTAAATGCCTTCTTCAGAGCCCAAAAGAACAGCGATCAATAATTTATGCGATGATCTACGTTTGCCATCCTAGCCTACTTTGCTTGGCACTTGGGGGAACGCGTTGACTTGTTGATTTTTATCTCTTTCCTATCATAAATTATACATAGACAGACGCATATAGGCTACGTGGAAAGGGAAAAAATGCAGTTTAACAATATCTAGCCTAGTATATAGAGGAAATGAATTCTAGCAAGATGGAGCTGGTTTGTTTACGCACGCGAAACAACAGCACCCCAATGCGCCCCAATATTGTCGTGCCATTTTAGCATCCTTACCTCACAGGTTGCAGAGCGAGGTGTCCAGTCCGTGCAGTCGCTATCCAGATGTGCAAGAGGAGAAGCCGTGCATGCCTTTAAACGTAGCTTACCGCATTCATAAATCGAGAATGCGCTTCTTAGCAAACTGGGTCAATGCCACTCGGGCCATCCTAACGCAGAAGATAGCCGCTGTTGGTCAGTACGCGCGCTGAGTACACGGTGGCCCACACGTACGCGTAGAGGTAGCTATCCCATCAGCATCCATAGCGCCATCCTCGCGATCCAGATGTGGCTACGCGCTTTGACCAATGGGAGAAATCCATAACACGGCAAAGGTCGGATGCAGACTGTCACCTTGTGCGTAACGGCGTCAGTTTTTTTTTTCTCTCTCTCTCTCTTTTTTCGCTATCCTCCGCCTCTTCCGTTCCTCTCCTGCCTAATTCACGGCGTTATCGCTCTATTTCTGTCCTCCTATGATGCTAGTCCACATTTACACTTGGCTGAGCGCGCTCTCTCTCTCCCCTCTCTCAGCTCCGTGCGCCCGGGGTTGTTAAACATGTGCTGAATGTGGGTTGGGGGTTGGGCATCGCCGCTACTGCTGCTGCTGCTGCTGCTGATGGCTTCGTAGGTGGCACGGTCCTTTAGCATGCATTTCTTCTTCCGTGATACGAGAGGTTATAGAGGACAAAGATATGCATTTTTCAGACTCGGGGCGGGACTGAATATTGTACAGTTTTAGCTTGCCGTGCAGTTTCACCAGGATCAAAATATAGGTTAGTTAGATTGCTGGCTTAACATGTAAAATGCCTTTCCAAAAAATATTAGGTTAAAACATAAGTCGCTCAGAGAAGAGTATGATAAATGTAACGATAAATATGGTGTGGAAAAAATATCGAATTATCTATATATCGTATCGTTTAATGCAGTGCTTCTTAAACGTTTTTTCTGGGCACACATATTTTAAAAGTCACAAACCTTCACGACCCAAGTAAACAGACATTATTCGTAAATCACAAAATAAAAATGGATTTGACCATTATTGAACATTAATGAGGATATTTTATTGTTGACTGAGTGATCGTGTCTCTCTGAACAATTAATAATACTCAAGTTTTAAACAATGAAAAACAATCATTGAAACAGCAATAAAAGGACATATTTCTTTTTCTTTTCAGCCTTTAATTGAAAAAAAAAATAATATTGGAACAAAATATTCAATAAAATAATTCCAAAAAGACTAGAAATTATACAAAATATATTCAGTGTTGTGAACGATTCCCAAGATCAAGGATTTAAAGCCGGAACAAAGAGAATGTTTGGTGAGTTTTATCAAGGGGAAAGACGTTACTGCTCTTCTTCCTATGGGATTTAGGAAAAGCTTAATACACCAGTTAGCCCCGTTAACGGTGCATTACATACATCACGACCAAACAGCAGCGATTGGTTAGATGATAAAAAGTACCCGCCTACTGTCGAGCGAACGGAATCTAAGGCTGCGAGGTTCGACGGTTTGTACGAAGTGAAACAAAGTAAAACCGGCTGATGAATCAGGCTAGTCTGGGGTGCAGGAGGAAAGCACAACACGCATATCAGGCGTATCAGCAGAACTGTATATTGCAGACCTACATGTAGATTGTGACAAGGTCACCCCAAAAAAAATCTCTTGCGACTCACCAAAGGGTTGCAACCCAGTCTTTGGAAAACTATGGTTTAAAGTGATGATGCTGTATCAATATCACCAAGAGTATTTTTTGGTATATTTTAATAAATTATTTATCAGAGCTACATTTTTGTTGCTTGTTCAGAGGAATGAAACTCATTTATGCAACACATATTTGACTTTGATTATTTGACATTATTTTTATTGAACCTTATTGAACGGATTTGAAATGTATCGTATCGAACCGAAAGTGCACTGTATCGAGGTATGTATCATATCGTGGCCTATGTATCGAGGTTTGTATCGTATCGGCAACTTCTTAATGATACCCAGCCCTATAGTGACAAACTGGTTACACTATCTGGTGACATACTTCTTTTGTGTCCTCAGGCAAGACACTTCACCGACATAGTGTCCAGTTGGCACAGTGGGTGAGTGTTCATCTAAGGCTGCCACATCTCAGCCATTTGCCCCCAGGACAGCTCTGGCAACCATCCACCACCACCAGTTTTTATTAAGTGGAACATGTCCTTTCATTATAGACAAAAGGTCATTTCACAGGCAGTATTTAAAATTAATGTGATATTGTTATTACAAGTGGTATGTTTTTTCTTTAATATGTCACATTACTTAATACCTTTACTGCCCTACAAAGACAGAACGCCGTAACATCATGTTTGGTCAAAAATTAGTTAATGTCATTTTGTTTGTATTTGAGACCTCCTTTATCATGTGAATAAATATAGTGAAAAATACTGAGCTCAAAATTTACCTTTGACCCTTATTTGTCAGTTCCTGTACTCTGCCTTTGTATCATGTGTCAAAAAGAAGGAGTCGTGCAAAGACAAAAGGCAGAAACAGTGTATGTTGGTTTGTGAATTAGTTAATAAATATATTTTATTTAAAATCCAACCTCTGGCCTTCTTCTTTTTGTTGGGGCTTTTGCACGGGGTTTAAACACGTTAAAAATATACCTTTGTATTCAGTTAGACATCAATTATCTTTAATGTGAAAGTATTTGGTGTATTTATTCAAACGGTACATAATATACTGCAAAATCACTTGTCTGTCAAACTGTTTAACTGTGTAAGTGTTGCTGCACGATCTTGATCAGTACTAAACAGGAAATCCAAAGCTCTTCTATATCATTTCAAACAAACACCATGATGACTCGACCTTGGTGAGGTGTTCTTATAATGGATGGAAGTCTGGAGAAAATCAATCAAATAATGATCACGTCAGTTCCTGCCTTTTGCTTTTGCGCGACTCCTTATTTCTGTCTCATGATACAAAGGCAGAGAACAGGAACTGACAAATGAGGATAGAAGGTCAATTTTGAGCTCAATATTTTTCACATACACACATTTGTTCATTATAGTCGGTAATTGTCAAATTTTGGGAGCCCTACCTATTATACTTTTGTCTGGACAAAACTGAATCTTTGAAGTCATTTTTGTCAGTTTCACACTCTAGAGAGTTAAGGTCTTTTGCCTTTGTGTGGCAGTATATTTATCTGTATGCTTATCTGTATTGCAGCATGTCCAAAGCAAATATGGATTTCACTGTCACAATTGTAAGGTTCAATATCCAAGTACATATTACATTGCATATGTTTATTGCTTGCGTCAATGTTTTGGATCCAATTAATTCTTCAGAACGCAGAATGAGCCCCTCACTTTGGGGTTGACAGATCCTACAACAAAAAACAGTTGGTATTAAATTCAAAAGGTCTCTCTGTGATATAATTTAACCTGATTGTTACATGAACTGAAGCGCATGTTACAGCATTACACTGATTTTAAATAAATAAATAACATAAATATTCTTCTCTACAAAGCTGTATACAGATCTTGTACCCGTCTTATGCCATCTTTTCCTCAGCTAAAAGAAAAAATGCGTACTTGCTCATTAAGATGGTACAGTTGCGTTCTTCCTGTGTTTAACATTGCTTTGTGAGTCACATCCTCAGTCTTCTTGAGTGACTGTTGGAGATAATATCGCCTTGGCCTCTTTTCAGCACAAAATCCCTAAGAAACATATGAGCAACTGTCGATCAGATTAAAGACTTCACTTTAGCTGCACTTTAAACCCGTCCATCAAATCAGTGGGAAAATACAGCTTATAGATGTCACCACTTTAAAATGACAGAGTTTAAATGTTTCACAAAAGGACTGATAGGAAAACAATAATAATGCTGGGAGTTTTATTAAACAGCAAGTATTACCCAAAAATATAAGGTTAAAGGTGCACTGTGTAACTTCTCTGGTAAGCGTCTGCCATGAGCTTGTTTATTGTTTCCCTGAAAGATCTTACAGTATGGCATTAAACTCACCTATGGCATATTTACGTTTACAGGTGTTTTACTACAAAAATACTACAGAAAATATGCATTCCTACAAGGACCAGGATGTTACATAATGCACCTTTAAGTACACTTTACTGATCACTCATGATTGAAATTCAGCGTCAGCATGTGACCCATCCTTCAACCAGTGCTGCTGGGGAAGCTTGTCAGGAGCAGTGTGACCCATCTCCATAAGAGCTAGTCTTGGTCAGGATTTGCTTAGCTGGAGGATTTTACCTGTGGGGCAGGTTTGGGTTAATGAGGGGAATCTGAGTGCCTGGAAAAACCCACTCAGACACAGGGAGAAACATGCAAACTCCACACGGAAAGAGTGAGTGAGTCAGCACCATACACCGACTGAAGGTGGGACTGAGGCATTCACTGGTGTGTGGTTATAATTACACCTAAGAGGAGTTTTACAGTAAATGCAAAAAAATATTTAAAACTTTATAGCGAAACTAACCAAAAATGTGAATGGATTATAGTAAGCTTTACCACAGGACAAAAGGTTGCATCTTAAATCATTTTCACTAAAAATGTAACTGAACATTCATAATTTTCACTTCTATTGCCTGGGTTTATAAGAGCTTGTCAGCACTTTCAAAGGCCAGAGTGGACAACCACTAGCATGTTAACTTTGCACTGCCTGATTATCAGACAATAAAACACTTTATAATTAGATGCCAACATTACACAGTAGCATTACTAAAATGAACCACAGTCACCTGATTTTTAGTTTATGTTATGTGTCTATAGTCTGTTCTATCAAAATGATGTTGAAGGTTTTAAGGGCCTAGAATGTTATAAGTCCTATATTACACAACATTCTCGTGAGCTTTATGGCATGTTAGAATAGTGTTGCTGCCTCAAAAACATACCTGGACTTGTGTTTTATTTCATTCACAGATGTCTGAGTGACCTTTTATTATTAGTCTATCTGTATCTTGAAAGCTCAAAATGCTCTTTTCCACATTGTGATGTCACGTAGTGGCAGTTTTCAAGTGAACAGTTATGTTTTACTTTAAACAGAAAGTTACTCTTGCTGGAAAATGTAAAAGTGGGCAAGGTACAAACCCGAGGCAATCCAACTGAATA